TCCTCGAGATTGTCGAAACTGGCGCGGACGGGGATCGCCACGCCCTCGCCGCAGATGATGCATTCGCGATTGCGCAGCGCCGGAATCGCGTCGAGGAAGCCGCGCGCGCCTTCGGGCATCGCCGCGCGGACGAATTCCTGGTCGCGGTCGTTGTTGAGGCGCATCGAGATGATCGTGCCGCATTGCGACAGCACGCCTTCGGCCAGGTCGGAGGGACGCTGCGTGAAGAGGCCGGTAGGGGGGGCGGGTACGGTGTCGGCACTGGCGGCCGCACCGCCTGGTGTGGGACTTCAGGGGCGGCCCCTCGGCCCTGCAGCCGTTCCCGCGGCAGGGGCGGAGGCGGTGGGTGGGGGGGGCGGGTACGGTGGCGGTACTGGTGGCCGCAATGCCTGGCGTGGGGCCTCAGGGGCGGTCCCTGAGAGGTGCGACTTGATTGGAGGCACTGGAGGCGATGGCGGTGGCGAAGGGAGGTTGGGCCGGGCCGTGAAGGGCTGATGGCGCTGGCCAGCGCGGGGTGTGAGATGTCGTCGTCGTCGTATACTGCTGGCCCTCGCCCTCAGTTGCCAGGGCTGTGGGCCGCAGAATTGGCGTCTGTGGCGTCTACGCAGGCTCTGCAGCGTGATGGCTGGCGGGACTGCGAGGCCGGCGGCAGCGGAAGGAGAGGCTGGGCACGAGCCAGGAACAGGCTGGCCAGGTCCGCGGAGGTGGCTGCGCTCGGGCGAGGCGCGCGCGCGCATGGCACTTTGGCAGGCCGAGCAGGCTCGGCATATGGTGAACCCCCGATGTCGCGATCTCGCGATGCGGTCATCGCGATCATTTCGTCCGTCCAATCGAAGGAAGCGCTGGATCGCCCATGTTTAGGGGGACAAAACTTGTTTCCGTTCTTCGTTCGAGATTCCGTGGGGTTTTGCACGGTATTCGGATTTTCGCTATTTGGTCGTGTGGGTGTGTATTCCGGGATTAGTCAATGGTACCGCGTCGGCGACGCGGGCGCCTTGCGGGCAGAGCCCTTAGCCACCCTTTGTCTTGCGCGGTCAAAAAAGAATTCTCAGCAGAAAAAAGAAATTGCCCAGCCACGAGAAAAATAAGAAGGAAAGAAGCAAACGTCTCTAAAGGTTGCACGAGTCCAGTCCAGTGAAATCCCTGTGTGGTGGCGGCGTGCCGTCGTCCTCCCATCCCTCCTAGCTCTCCTTTTTAAATCAGAGAGAGATTTTTTGAAAACTAACATGTGTGTGCATGTGCGCATGTGTGCATGTCATGTGACGAGAAATCACGACCCTCACAGACACAGTGATTTGGGCTCGGTCTTTCTCTAGGGTTGTCTATATTTCTTTCTTTTTAGTCCATTCCAGCGCGGGCGGCGGCGCGGGGAACGCCTGCCGGGCCCTTACGCCTTAGGAGGGTAGGGAACACACCTCCCCTCTGACGTCTATATGCCACTCTCTCCCCTTTCTCCATAAGCTAAAAGTACTTACCTACCTAGGTAGCCGATAGGGCCTGGGCGCGGCACTCAGAGGGAACAGACCCCTGTCATCCGGCTAAAAGCCCGGCTGATCGATGGCCGCGCCCGCTCTGAGGCTCAGCCAGCAGCTCAGCAGCGCGTGGCAACGAGCGGCACATCGCTGAGGTAGACGCTGCCGACGAGCGGCGCCTCCGGCCTCTTGACCAGCCCTGGGTGCGCCTTGATGTGCGCGACGACCTCGTCGGCCTTCTTCGGTGTGCACACGGCGGCGGAGAGGCATTCGACCATCTTGTGGCCGTGGATGGTGGCTGTGGCGAGGGCGTCGGTCACGAGGACGACGTCGAAGCCGAGCGCGTCCGCCGCGCGGAAGGTCGTCGCCGCGATGCAATCGTCCGTCCACGCGCCCATGAGGACGATCGTATCGACGCCCCACGCTTTGAGCATCGGATAGAGGATCTCTCGACCATTCGCGTCGAGGTCGCTGAACTTGTCGAGGTGCATCGACTTGATCATGCGAGAGCGCTCGTCATCGTTCACCGGCGCCAGCGAAGGCACCGTCGTGTTCCCGCCTTCCATGTGCAGGTAGCACGGATTGACCTTTTCCCCGACGCCGCGCGGGCCGTAGAAGCGGTCGAGGGCGCCATAGCAGCCGTCATCGGCCGTACGCGACCAATTGGTCCACACGATGGGCAGCCCGAGCTCGCGGAAGAGCGTGACCAGCTTCTCCGCGTTCGGAAGCACGTAGTCTACGTACTGCGTGTACTCCACCTGCATGTCCTCGACGATGAGCACAAAGTTGCGCGGCGTGGGCACGCCACTCGCCGTCTTCGACAGGTCGGGCCAACCGGTGGAGATGGAGACGAGCATTTTCGTGGCGGGGTGGTCCGCATAGTACGTGGGCACTATCCCTGTGTTCTGCACATCAACCAGGTTTGCCATCTCCGACTGCCCAACCTTGGCCAGCTCCGACGCAGTGTGGCCGAGCACGTCTTTGAGCCCCGGATCGCTCGCGCCGGAGGCGACAATGCCGCCCGCGGCCGCGGCTGCCAGTTGCTTGCGCTTGACGATTTTCAAAACCATCTGCACCGCGAGCGTCGCGGCCGCACCCGCGGCGGCGGCGAGAAAGAGGCGCATGTGTGTGTCACAGCGGGAACACGTCGAGTCGCGCGCGTGTCCAGCGGAACACGTCCGACTCGCGGCGTTGGGGGAGGGGTACAGCTTGCCTAAAAATGAAATTTCCATCCAGTACCTGCGGACGGTGAGGCAGTGTGAAGAGGGGTGGGGAGTGGCTCTCCGACGCATGAGGTGCGCGCCAGCGACTCGGAGTAAAACTCCTCCCCCTCGCTCTCCTCGTCCGAGAACTCGTCAACCGAATCGAAGGTGAAGTAAGAGGTCTCGCCAACACCGCTGCTGTACGCGATCGAGCCGTAGAGCATCTTCCCGTCTCCGTCCTCGTCGTGGAAGGCGGGAGCGGGCCAAACCACACCGTCCAGGTTGCTGCTCCTCAGCGCCTCTGTCCTGGATTCAAGCGAGTCGGCGGACCACTCGATCAGCTTTTTGATCAGCGCGTCTTTGTTGCCGCTCAAGCCGCCGGCCTTGGCCTCGGCGACCTTGTTTCTGAGCCAGGCCGTGGTCTCTTGTTTGAGGCTCTGGCGGTAAAGCTCGTGGAAGCGCCGCTCGCTGAGCGGCATTTCGGCGCGAGTGGAAAAGAATCTTCAGGTGGCTGGCAGAGTGGAAAAGACGGTCTCCCTCGGGTTGGCTGTTTTCTTTCTTTTTAAAGACTGTGCCTCGCAGTGTTTTCTTTTTCTTCTTTTCTTTCCTGCTCCCAGGAGGAAAGCTTGATATCCGTCGGGCGACCGAGGACGTTCGGACCGCCCCCCCCCTCCGCCCCTGTCTCGCCTCGGTCGGCCTGAATGCACAACATCCATCCGTCCACAACCAATTGGTAGAGCACACCTCGTCTCTGCGCCGCAGTGGCTGCGTGACGGGCGAGCTCCCAGTGGGATTGCTTGTGAGTTCGTCACTGCGTTGAGGTCAGGATGGAGCCAGTCGGACCATTCAGAAGCTGACCTGAGCAGCTCTTACTACAAATTGAGGTCAGGGTGGGAAGGACGGACATGGACCCGCCGCGAACTCCCTTGTGTGGGCAGTAGCTGCCGGCCGTGAACCCCTTCCCGGACCAAGAATGAATGTGCATGTGCGAGGCGTGCCGGCGTACGTGGAGAGCGACTGTTTAATGGCAGATGGGTGTGGCACCTGTGCGGGTGTGCCGCCGTCTCGGTGTGTCCGCTCCCTGGGAGTGATGACGCTACGTGGAGTTCGGCAGCCGCCCGCGGTGAACCAACTCGCTCGCGGCTCCAGTGCACCAACTCCCTCGCGGCTCGGCTGCGGCTCGGCTCCGGCTGGCGGCGTCTCGCGTCTCGCTCCTCTGTGTGGCCGCATACTCGAGTGACTCGGCTCTGTCCTCTTCGGTCTGTCTCCCTACCAATGCCCGTCCCTGCTGTCCCTGCTGAGACCCCCCCCCCTCCCAACCACTGCGCAGGCGAATGCTGCTCATGCCGAGACGACGCACCCGTCGTTCCATTTGACCTCCCTAGCAGAGCACCACACAAGCCCACACAAAACCGAATTTTCATAAACCGACGGAGGCCTAGAAATGCCTTGCCCGTATTTGTACCGTCGTGTGTGTGTGGACTGTGGTGGGATCTCTCTCACGTTCATCTCTCTCTCTCTCTCCCTCCCTCTCTCCCTCTCTCCCTCTCTCCCTCCCGCTCCCTCCCTCCCTCCCTCTCTCTCTCTCTCTCTGGCTGCCGAGCGACTTGGAGGAGGCGGCAGGCTCGGCGGCGGCGGAGAGCTCGGCGGCGGAGGGCGTGGGAGGTGCGAACGGGAGCGACGGCCACAGCAAGGCGCCGCTGACGAGGATGACGGCCACGATGCCGGCGTAGCCGATCCAGCAGCTGCTCAGGTCGAGGCCCGATTCGGTGAGCGAGTAAAAAATGGGGAAGACGATGGTGCTGCCGTCGAAGATGGCGGTCGAAGCGGCCAGCAGCGTCCCCTGGATGTTCGGGAAGAGGTTTGCGAGGTGGAAGGTCGCGGTCTGGATGCCGGTGCCCCCAAACCCAAGCAGGAAGTAGCCGACGTACAGGCATAGCATCGGCCCGCCCGTGCTGTGCATGTACATCATTGCGGCACCGGTGAGCTGCACGCACGAGCCCAGGACGCAGCAAATCTTGGGGCCAAACGTGTCGAGGACGACGCCAAACGGCAAGTTCGAGGTGTAGTTTCCTGGCGCGGGTTGCGTGTGCTGGGGTCAAGGCGGGAGGCGGCGCATTCCTCGGCGGGTGCAGGGGAGGGGAGCGCCAATGGTTCCGAGAGTGAAGACGAAGGCAAAGAGCGCCGCCTGCCCGCTGCAGTCTGAAGTGATAGTCGGTACGAGCGATTTTTTGGCGGCAGGGCTGTTCCAGTTTATCTGGTGATCACGCGCGAGCCTGTGAATAGAGGCCCCGGAGGCCTCAACCCTCAACTAAAGGGTTGACGGGGGGTCTCAACCGTCAACCAGATGGTTGAGGGGGGGCCTCAACCCTCAACCCCTCAACCACCCCCTGGGCCGACAAAAATGAACAACAAACAACAAAACACAAAAATGCAAGCCCCGCCTCTGGCCACTGTTTTGCGCCCGATTTTTGTGAAGGTGCCGCAACCTGCTATAGTGCCTGTCGCGGCCCTCTTCTGGGTCATGCCGCCTCGCTACTCTCGCACGACCGCCGACGTCGACCTCGACGAAGAGGCCGAGCTGCGGCGCCTCGAGAGCGGCGCGGACCCCACTCCTGTCGCTCCGTGTGTGGATCTGACCGAGCCGATGGCCAACTTCGAGGAAGAGCCCGCGCCCTCGCTCGCCGTCCCCCGCAAGAGCCGCCTGCAGAAGGGCCGCTCCGCGTTGCCCGAGACCAAGCCGCCGCAGCGCAAGAAGGAGGGGCTCGGCCGCAAGCGGCCGGCGGCGGCGGCGCGCTCGGAGTCGGGCTCGGACTCGGACGCGCCGAGCGCCGAACCGAAGAAGAAGAGCCGCGCTGCGACGGCAGACTACTCCGAAAGCTACAAGCGGCTGGTCATGTCGCACGCCCTGCGGCTGCCCAAGAGCGGCCGGATCAAGCCGACGTGCACGAAGTTCTCGACGGCCGACCGCAAGCTACAGCCGAACCAGTTCAGGCGCTGGCTCAAGGACCGCGGGCTGATGGTCGATGTCTTGCGCGCGCTGCAGGGCGCCGGGCTCTCGGCGGCCGACGACGTCGAGGCGATGCTTTCCGCTGCCGGTGTCACGATCCCAGCACCGCTCCCCACGCCCGAAGCGTATGCCCGCATAACGGGGGCCCTGGCGCGCGTGCAATCCGTTGGAAAAAAAAAGGAGACGCCGAGCAAAAGGAGAGAAGGTAGCGCGCGATGCGCCTCCGCTCTTGCGCTGCTCGCTCGCCCGGGCGGAGAGCACTTGGAGCATAACAAAGTGATTTCTTCACACCTCGACAAACGCCGGGCGGCGCCAGGATACAGGACTAGGGGGTTGTACCAGAGGGGGGGGGGGTCTGAGGCAAGGGGGCCCAGATCTGCTCGTCTCAGAGGGTACCCTCTGTGCCAAGAGAGGCCATCCACGAGCGGCTCAGAGGGTGCCTGGGCCGACCCTCTGAAGGCCTGTGCCGCCAAGCCAGCCTCTCTCGGCGCAGCCTCTGAGGCTACGGGGACCCTCTGAGACGCCAAGGGCAAGGCAAGCCCCGCGAGGCCGCTCCTCAGAGGGAGTTTTCAGCGGTATTTCAAGTCTGTCGTGATCCCCCACCAAGCAGAGAGAACCCACCCCCGGCCAAACAAGAGAACCCCCCCCCAGCAGGCCCAGCTTCCATTGGTTTCGGATACCTCAAGTTCGAGTTCACTAGGACGCCGCGGCGCCTCATGGCCAAGCTGGAGCAGGGGACGGATGTGGAGATCACTACCTCCTCCTCGGGCGGCCGCTCCAAGCACATCCTCACTCAAGTTGACGGGTCGGCGGCGCCGCTGCGCGCTGGCCGCGCGAAGCTGTCGCGCAGGGGTCGGCGCGGGCGCTGTGGGCGAGCCTGCAGCAGCAGCAAGCGTAGAGTAGCGCCTTAGTCATGCTCGCTGCTTCCGCCCCCTCCCCGCCCTCCCTGGTCAGCGCCGTTCGTGGAGGGCTAGGCGCTCCGGCCTCCGCCCGGGGCTCTCGCGACTCGCCTCTGTCTGCCGAGAGGGGGCTACCCTCTGAGGTCAACGCCCTCTGTGCCGCGCCAAGACAGACCCTCGGCCGGGGACCCTCTGAGGCCAAAATCAGCCAAGAGAGGCCACAGAGGCGGCACAGAGTCAGAGTCAAACCCTCTGTGCCGCCAAGGCAGGGGTCCGACCCGTCCTCAGAGGGGGGTCTGAGGCCTCAGAGAGTGTATAACCCCCCAGTGATACAGGTCAGGCCTACTGTGGCAAGCCGGGAAGTGCCACCACCGACTACAGCACTTCCCATGCTCGAGGACGACGACCTGCTCGATGGAGTGCCGGACGACGCGCCCGCGGTCACGGACGCGGACCTGCTCGACGACGACGACGAGGAGGTCGACGAAGACGCCGGTGGCAAGCGCGGGCGGCAGAGCGCCGCCGACGCGGATGATGCGATGGAGCCGGCGGGCCTCTCCCGGGCGCTGGAGGACGATCCTCCTGAGCGTGCGGCGGCCGCGCGCAAGTCCGGCAAGCGGCGGATCATCCAGCACGTGGCAAAGGAGGACGGCGGCGGTATCGACCCGCATGACCCGGCCGAGGTTGCGCGGCGGAATGCGCGCGCCTCCAAGTTTGGGACCGAGGCGCCTCCGCCGGCGGCGGCGCCCCCGACGCTCATCGGTCGCGAGGAGGTGCTCGCGCGCGCGGAGCGCGCCAAGAAGTTTGGCGTCGAAAAGGCGGCAAACCCGCTGGACGCCATAGCGTCGGCGGCGGGCGGTGTGGGCAAGACAAAGGAGGCGGGGCTGTGGGAGAAGCGGCGCGACGCGGCGGCCGACGAGGTTCCGCGCGACGAGGCCATCTACGTGTACGGCACCGCCCGCACCCCCACCTCGCGGCCTGCCTCTTCTCGGGCCCTTCTCGCACCCTTCCCATAGCGACTTCCCTTAGGCACCGACCGCATGTCCACCTCGGACCTGCTGCGCTACTTTGCGGCGCGCCCCGGCGCGGCCGACACGTACCCGCCGCCCACCTACGCCGAGTGGGTGGACGACTCATCGGCGGTGGTCGTGTTTGGCTCTGCCGAGGCGAGCCTAGACGCTGCAGCAGTCCCGCCTGCAGCAGTCCCGCCTGCAGCAGTCCCGCCTGCAGCACTCCCGCCTGCAGCAGTCCCGCCTGCAGCACTCCCGCCTGCAGCAGTCCCGCCTGCCTGCCTGCCTGCCACTCGAGACGGCTGCATCCCACTCGCTTTGTTCGCAGCCCGCGTACTCACGCGGTGCTCTGAACACACCGCACGCCCCCGTCCCCACGCCCCCAGCTCCCCTGCCTGTGGCCTGTTTCAGGCCGCGGCGTCCGCCCTGCACTCCACCACCGCGCTGCTCCTCTCGCTCAGTCCGGATGGCGCAGCTCCTAGATGGCGCCAGAGATGGCCCCAGAGATGGCCGCAACCCGCGCGATCCATACCCTAGCGGCGATCCATGCCCTCGCGGCCCAGCACGCACGCACCGCGCTCTCCTCCGCCGCCTTCCACCCTCCCGCCCCCGCAGGACCGCGCCTGACACCGCCAGCGTCGCCCCCTCTGCCGCAGGCACCGCTGCGGCTGACGCCGTCGACGCCCTTACGTGGCGCACGACGCCGGAGGAGCGGGCGCACAGTGGCAAGGGGCTGCAGCTCCTCTTCCGCCGCGCGACGGCTCTCGACGTCAAGCCCGCCCGCCGCAAGGCGCCAGACACACCTCCGAGACACCTCCCAGACACCTCCGAGACACCTCCCAGACACCTCCGAGACACCTCCCAGACACCTCCGAGACACCTCCCAGACACCTCGCAGACACCTCCGAGGCACCTCCGAGACACTGCCGAGGAACTCCGAGACACTGCCGAGACGCCTCCGAGCCACTCCCTCTCTCTCCCACCACAAGACGTCGCCGCCACGAGAGAGGCGGCCACGTCGCACCTGCCACATCTCGGCACGGGCGCGGTCTCCCGAGCAGGCGTCGCGCTGGTACGGAGAGGCGGCGGGCCGCGGCGGCGGTCGCACCGCTGGCGGGCGGGGGCGGGGGCGCGGCGGCGGCGGCGCGAGCGGCGGCATCTCCAAGAAGAGGACGAGCGGCGGCGGCGGCGGCGTCTCCACCCACGCGCCCACGGGATGCGTGGAACGGCTGCGCTCATTCGCGGCTCTTTCCTCCTCAGGCAGCCTCGCCAGCCGGGTGCTGTCGTCCAAGACGCTCTCGTCGGCGCTCGGCGCTGCAACCGCCGCCGAGCCCCCATTCCCTTCCTAGTCCTTTCCCCGACCCTCTCGGACGCTCCCCGTAGGCGCGGCAAACGCCGCCGAGCCCACCCTCGCCGCCGCCCTCGCGTCGGGCGGCGAGTCGCTCAACGCTTCGAAGCCGGACTTGCGCGCACAGCTCGCGACGAGCACGGCAGCCGTCTCGGAGCCGTCTCGGAGCCGTCTCGGAGCCTCCCTGTAGGCGCGCGAAGCTCGCGACGAGCAAGTGGCCGCGCGGCGAGGCGATGGACGAGGACGACGACTGACGGAGGCGGGGCGTGACCCTCGCCGAGCGGGCCACTTGTTTGGCAGCGTGGCCTCTCCACTGCGCACCCACTGGCACGGCTGGGGTGTGCTAGACCCGAGCGGTGCGCCTTTGTGGTAGCTGTATAGAGGGGCGGCGCCAAGCGCGCGGGGGGGGGCGCGCAATTCCAACAGAAGAGAACGGCGGCGTCACTAATGTGAGAAGTACGAAACACAGCGGCGGGCTTCCATGGCCATCACATGCATGTGAACAACCGTGTGAACATGTGAACAAATCTTCGCCGGTCCGCCGGGTGGACGAGCTGGAGCGACCATACCACCGAGGTCTACGCACGCAAATCGCAATGCAGATGTCTCATATCGCACACACGCTCTCTCCACTTCGACTTGGCTTGCGTGACGATCTCCCAAAAGCTTCCCCCTGGCCATCTACGAGATCTGCTGCGCGCTCGAGGAGGAGCTGGCCGCGCCGGCGAACTCGAGGCCAACGAGCAGCTCGCGCGCGAGCATGCGATGGTTGGCCTTGTCGCTCTCCTTGCTCATGCGCTCGAGCGTCTCGCGCAGCGGCACGCGCGCAGGCTTGGACAGCTTGCGCAGGAAGGTGAGCACGTCCTGAAGAGGGTCCTCAAAGAATGCCTCTCCGTAGCGCATGCCAAGGAGGCGAATGACGGCGCGCATCGGCGGGCTGACGTCAGGCTTCGAGAGCTCACGGACGAGGCTCGGTGCCCCCTCTATGCTCGCCCACGCGCTTCCGAGCAGCTCGTTGTTTCTCAGGTCGGCCTCCAGGATGATTTTGACCATCGTCGCGACCACGTCGTGCGTCTCGAAAAGAGTTTCGTCGCCGAGCATCGCACACTTGAAGACGTACATCGTACATACCAGCTCATTCTTAGGAGCGCCCGAGAAGTCGTCCTCCTCCTCGTTCTCGTTCTCGTCCTCGGACGGCAGCGCGTGGAGCTCGCCAATGTGCGCACCCTTGTTGACCAGCTTCTGGATGTGAGCAAAGAGCGCGCCGCGGTGCATCTTGAGAACGTCTTGGCAATCAGTTAGTTCGAAGAGCTTCTTGCGGCTGCGAGCGGTCTCGAGCGTGCGGATGTGGTCGGCGGCGATGGTGGCGTTGCTCTCGAATTCAATCAGCTCCTGCGTTGTGAGGCTCGACAGGCTGAATCCCTCCAGGCCGATGCGCACGCCGCGCTCGTGCACCGCCCGCTCGGCCGCCGCCTTGAAGTACTTGCACACCTCGGCCGAGCGGGCGAGGTCATTGGGGCGGAGGAAGCAGAAGGAGTGCACGAGGAGGTCTAGCGGCAGAACGACCTCGTCCGGCAGGATGGCCTCACGCAGTTTTCGCATGCGCGCTTCGAGTGCCACAATGGCCGTGTACTTTTTGCGCAGATTGCCATAAATTGTGGAGAACCGCTCGGCCTGCGCACGGGTGATGGACGTTTGGATGTTGAGCTTGGAGACAAAATCGGAGGAGGCTTCCAGCGCGTCAAGGGCTTCGTCGAGTGAGGAAGGCGACCACGCGCTGCTGCTGCCCACGCGCTGCTTCTTGCTGGGCTGCGACATGGCTTGATGGGTTTTCGCTCAAGGGGTGGGAGGGTGACGGGCTGATGGCTGTCGCGAATTCGACCCAGCCTTCTCGCCGCCCCCACACGAGTGAGGTGGAGCCATCATGCGGCCGGGCGGATAGCCGGGACACAGCCATCGCAGCCATCGGCCGGAGGATGGCTGCACTGGCTAGAAGGCAGCCAAAATGGCGCGTGCATCCAAGAACAGCGTGAAGCGGTGAGGCGTGAGAGAGGGCTGCGTCTGCCTGGCGGCTCGTCGCGCAGTCAACAGTAGGTAGGTAGGTAGAAAGGTGAAGAACAGCCAGGCTCGGACTGGACACCAACGCGGTATGGGTGGACGCTGGACAGATGATGACGACACGCACGAGCGACACACAGACACAAAAGGCTCACAAGACACACAGCCAGCTGGCTGCCACACACCCTGAGTTGGCGTACACATAACTCAAGGCCATATCCTCCCTGTCGCCCCCCCCAGCACTCCAAGGTGCCAAGAGAAACAAACAAGAGCACAACAAACAACAGACGACAGGAAGTGACATGTGAGGCTAGAGCAGCATGCTCCACCTCTAGCAATCTCGCCGGCCGCAAGGCACGGACGAGACCGTATGTGGGGTCTAGTGAGGTGTCTATGGACGCCCTCCTCATGGGCTAGCTGCCTGCGGCTAGCCCTAATCTCGCACTCACGGACAGCGACAATCAAATGGGTGAGTGTTTGCGAGCAGAGGCGCGTGGGCTAAATCTAGGCCGCACGTCGTGGCACTATGACGAAGTAGACGTGCGGCCGCAGCGCGCCCGCCGCAGGCTCGGCGGTGCGCGCGTGTTAGCGACAAAGTTGCGGGTGGAGCCATGCCCGACTTTTCGAAGGTGAGGCCTCTGCGACGAGTGCCAGCCGCGCTGCGGAGCCACGCCCTTCGAGCCGCGTCCCGTCGGCACTGTCCCCGAGTGGTCCCGCCTTGGCGGCACACACTCTCGACCAGGACAGTCCTGCTGACGGGAACGTGTCGCGCGCCGGCGACGGTTGCGGCGTGCTCGTTGTGAAGCCAAGATGGCACGACCACCGCCCCGCTTCGCAGACCGGGCAAGGAGGGGCCTGCTCCCGTTCCGCGAGGAACAGGAGGTCTCCCCCCCTCCCCCGGCCTGAGCATCGGCGGATGGAAGGCAGCCCCGTGAGTCGAGGGCGGCGCGACCATTGCTGCTCTCCAATGACCAGAGGCCCGGTAACTGCAGATGGTCGCGCCGCCCCGCTCCGCCCCGCCCGCCGCCGCGCCGCGCCGCCGCCCGATGATTATTAAGTAATAATGAATGAGTCAACAAGGATACGAGATCTAAGAGAAAAATAATGCAAGCACCAGCAGCAGGGGGTTGGAGCCTGAGCCGTACGTCCCAGACACACTGCCTCGCTCTTGCGCCTCCGACGCCGCGACTCGCCTCGCTCGGCGAAGCGGTCTGGGGGTGGCCTCCCCTCGAGCAGGCGCGTGCCCTCCCGCCCCGCGCTCCGCGCCGCCCGCCGCGCCCGCGTACTCCTGCGCCGCCTCGCGCGCTGCGCCGCTCTGCGCGCGCTGCGACTCGCGTGAGGCGGTGTATCGACCCCCGACGCGGGCGCATCGACCCCGCTTGGCCCCGACCTAGTCTCCCCCTCCTCGAGCCCCTCCGCCCGTTGCAGAGCTCCTCCGCCTCCGCCGCAGGATGCCACCCAAGCGCTCGACGGAACGCTCGACCAGCTGCTGCACGGCGGTGATGGTGTCCATTATCGACGCGTTCACGCTGCACCGCGTGCCGCCCTGCGTCCCGGAGCTGGTCGGCGACGGCGGCTTCAGGCCTAGCACGCTGTACATGGACATGGGGTGGCCCAAGGGTGCTCGCCGGCCGGTGTGACCGACGCGCTCTCCTCAACGCGGCTCCGGATATCGGCCATGACTCCTCAGCGACGGTGCGCCTCGCCAAACGCATGGCCCGCCCGCCAGCCTCCCACAGCCCCCCCCCTCCGCTCTCACCGCCGCCGACGCGCCGCCACGCCGCCTCTGCCCTCGCCGAGCCGTCGCCACCGCCCTTCTCGCCGCCTCTGCCTCCCGCCCGCCTCTCCCGTGCCTCTGCTCTCCCGCCCCGCCCAAGCGGCACCGCGCACGCGAGACGCCCTCTCGAGGCGGAGCCCGTCCAATGTCGCGCTAACGCGCGATCGCGTCTCGCCCACGGCGCACACTCACACCAACGCACACCATGTCCCGCTCAGGCTCCTACCGGATAATCATACCCTCCACGACACTGGCGTACACGGCGACGGTCCCGTGCACCGGCGCCGTGCCGAGCCGTCCTCCTGCTCGGCGACCAGCTCCGCCGTGTCTCGATGCCGGCAGCATCCGGTGCGTCGCCGCCGGCGACACCGCCCGCTGCGGCGAGTGGCATGTGCGGTGGCGCGCCCTGCTGCGTGGCCGCCGCCGGCTCGGACGTGGCCGCGGCTGGAGCCGGGCCTGGGTCGGTCGCGGCCAGAGCCAAAAAATGGAGCGCAGCTAGGGCTGCGCAGCGAACAGGAGCGAGTTCGCGCTGCGGTGCTCAGTACGGCGAGTTCGCGCTGCGGCCTGCTCGGGCTTTATCTCTCGCGTCTCGGCTGCGTTGGCTGCTGAAGTCTTTTTTATCGGTGCGTTTTAGCTGTTTTAGCAGCAAACGTCCGAATTCTGCAGCGATGACCGATGTGGGAGCGGCGCGAGTGCGGCGAGAGGCTTTCCGCTTTGCCTTTTTTTTTGGTCTGCGCGCTGGTCTCGCCGATTTGTGGTGCGAGAGACGGTCTCAGACCCAAAGAGAATGCAGAATCTAATGTTTTTTCACACACAACACAGACACAGACACTGCGCTCCCCTCAGCTCCCGCGCTGGCAGGGAGACGCGAGCCCTGACGGTGGTGGGGGCCCGCCACGCAGCTATAGCGCCGCCCTGCGCTGACATGGTTCGTGCTGAGCCGCCGCCGCCGCTCGCTCTCGAAGAGCGTCGCGCTGCTGCCCGTTCCCGGAGCGCAGAGCGCGAGTTTGGTGGTCAGGGCCTCGCCTGAAGGGGGGGTGGGGCAGGGGGGAGAAGATGAGGGCGTCACCGAGCGGGTGGGGCTGCCGTGAAAGTGGTGCGCGGGGCGTGGATGCACCTCAAGTACGAGCGAGTAGCGGAAAGACCGCCCGCTACTCCGGCGGAAGAGTGCTCCCCCGCCGCCCCCTGGGTCACCCCGAGTGACCTCGCAGCCCACGCCGTGAGGCGCTGCTGCTGTCAGGGGATGTTGGGGGCGTGCAAAGCGGCTGGGAAGAGACGGCCAGGCTCCTCGCGGGCAAAAGACTGACGTGGCCGCCGCATTCAGCCTCCGGCGGGCCTCCGGCGGACGCCTGCGGCGTGACGCTCCGCGCGAACAGCCCCGTCTCGGAAGCGCTGCGGGACGGCCTCGCTTCAACGTGTGCGCCTGCCGGAGTGGAGTGGTCACCGGATGAAATCGCGGCCGCAGCTGCTTCGAGGGGTGATTGAGGCCGGGCAGGAACGGCTTCTCCCGAGGTGCCCGCATCTAGTAGGCCGACGCCACAAGCAGGAGGGCTGCGTGGACCTCCTGGGCCTTCTTGGTCGGGTCGCTCCTCCTGGCATGGCGCTCGGCCTGCGAGCACGGGCGGAGCGAGCGGTGAGCGGGCAGTGTGCCGCCGGACGGGGAGCTCCGTCACCCTATCGCGGAGCTCTGGTCCCGCCCCTGGGCCGGGATGCGACCCACAATAAAACCCGTCCCACCCGAAGTGCATCTCCGGGAACGGCCTCCTCGAAACGGAGGCGCGGCGCGGGCGGCGCGCGGGGCAAACGGGCGCACCTTGGGGGCTCCGAGGGGCTTGCAGACGGGCTTTCAGGCGAGCCGCGGACAGGCGCCGGGTTCTCTCCGCGCCGCGAGCCAGGCGGGGCCGACGAGGAGAGAGCTTCTCCGGCCCCGCATTTTCTTTATCGGTTGATGCCCAGGTTCCAACCCCCTGACCAGCAGCAGCAGCACCAGCTGAGCAGCACGCGCCTCGCGTGTGTGCGTGCGTAAGCCGCCTCACTCCAGATGCCATCACCTCGCCAAAGCTCCGTAACCTCGCGCAGAGGCCGCGATCCCTCTCCGTCCTTGCCGACGGTGGCGACGCTCCCGCTCGGCTGCTCCGTGGCGGCCTTCACGGCGGCCTGGGAGCGGTCGCATGCGGTGGTGCTCAAGCGGCCTCGCCGGACGACCCGCGGATCCGCAGCGCTGGTGCCGGCGAGCGGCGCTTTTGAGGCGGTCCGCGAGCTCCTCCGAGACGACCCGGAGATTGGCGCGACCTTCACTTCAGAGTGCGGTAGTGCGCCCGACTCCAAGCGGCGGAGGCGCCTCGGCCTGCAGGTCGGCTCGGACCAAACGCGCGGCGCGGTCCTCGGTCGGGCCGCACCGCCGGGCGGCTCCTGGTACTGCAGCTGGATCTCCGCGCGGGAGGACCTCCTCCAAGCGGTGCCTCTGTCTCGGCCGCCCTGCCTGCCCGCTTCTGCAGCGCAAGAGGCGGCCGTCTGGTGGTTTGTGGGGCGGAACGGCTCTTCCAACGAGGCGCTTCCGGGCCGGCCCGAGCACACCGACGAGGTGTCTCACGACGGGACTTGGCACTGCCGGCTCCCGAGGCCCGAGGACGACTGGCAGCCTACTCCCGAACGCTGCTCGGAGCGCCTCGCCCGTAGGCACTACCAGCTGGAGGGGTCCAAGGAGTGGAGGCTGAGGCCGACGACGGAGCTGTGCGAGCGGCTGCGAGGCGGCGGGCGGGGCGGCGGCGGCGGCGGCGGCGGCGGCGGCGGCGGCGCCCCGCCGGCGCAGCGCGTGGTGCGCAGCGCGGGGGAGGTGCTCGTGCTGTCGAGGACACGTCCACGACTTGTCTGAGACATGTCCATAGGTGTGCGGCGCGGGGGACGTGCTCGTGCTGTCGACGCAGGACTGGTGGCACTCGACGCGACTGCCGCCCCTCGGCAGCTTCCTCTCTGCCTCACAGGGGAGGGAGGGCGGATCGGTGAATGAGCGGACACGGCGAGTGGACCGTCAGGCGGCGGTCTCTCCGTCTCCTACGCCAGGGAGTTCACCCTCTCGCCCTCGGGCAGACCAGGCGCTGCCGGCGGCGCGGAGGCGGGCGGCGGGCCGACGAGCTTCACAAACGTGGACGGCCTCTTCGCGAGAGAGGCGCCCCCCCCCCCCCTCCCCCTCTTGCCTCCCCCGGCCCACCTCCGGTTCCGGTGACGGCAGGCGATCGAGGCGGGCACCATCATCATGTCGGAGGAGGAGGGGTGCGGCATGGAGCTGCCGACCTCCGCCACGCCGAACTGCGAGGTGGTCGAGGTGGAGGACGAGGAGCAGGGCGGCTCCTCGCTCTGCCTCGTCGCCTGCCGTCGCATCCGCTCGGGTGAGTTTCTCTGCATCGCAGAGGACGACGACTAGAGAGGCTGCTGGCTCACTGGCTGGCGTGTGCTTGGGGTCACCGAACGTGCTTGAAGAGAGATCGAACGTCGTCGTAGATTTTGCCCGATCGGCGATCGTTTTCTTGCACACAAATTCTCATGTGCCAGTCAGTCCGCGCCAGTCCGCGCCCTTGTCGTGCCAGTGTGCTGTGAGAGAGGCTTCGTAAGAATTCTTCTGTTATACTGCGAGTGTCGAGCACTTGGAGCACTCAGGACCTCAACGTCGCGTCCCCGAGACCTCGCTAGGTCGAGCCTGGTCCTGCCCATGTCCCGCTTCGCCGCACTGGAAGGCATGAGCGATGAGCCTGCAGCACCGCAGCAACGCGACTGTGTCGAGCCAACTGCATCGGTGCTCGACGACCCACTCTTCTGGCTGGATTTGGAGATGACGGGTCTCGACAGCCGGCGTGACGTCATCCTTGAGGCAGCGATGCTTGCCAGCGACAGCCAGCTTCGTCGGACCGTGGATGGGCCTGAGATTGTCATCCACCACGCGGACCCGGTCCTCGCCGGCATGAATGAGTGGAGCCGCCAGCAGCACGACCGATCTGGGCTGACTGAGCGATCCCGACTGAGCACCACGAGCCTCGCTGCGGCCGAGGCGGCGCTGCTCGCTTTTGTGGAGACGCACTGCCCTGGCGACGCAAAGGCTGTGCTTGCGGGCGCGTGCGTCTACAAAGACCTCGAGTTTGTGGAGGTGCACATGCCGCGGCTACGCGCGCGGCTGTCGCATCGCGTGGTGGATGTGTCCACCGTGAGGCACCTCGCCCACGCGTGGTACCCTGGTGCGGCTCGCAAGGCCCGCGCCGCCCTCTCCGCGCACGCGTACACGCACCGCGCCCTCGACGACGTTCGCCACAGCATCGCAGAGCTGCGATACTGGCGAGAGCACTGCTTCAGACCGAGCGGAGGCGGCAGCAAGGGCGGGCGGGCGGCGAGAGGCTCCAAGGCGGCGGCGGGGCGCAGGGAGGCCGCTGCGGCGAGGTGCGATGGGGAGGACAAACGCAGTCCCGTCGCGGAGCTTGTGTCGGCGATGGACAAGCTTTAGTATCACTGTTGCGAGGGGGGTTTGGCACGAGCCACCCAGGGTCGTTAAGTCGTAATGTAGAGGAATGGTGGGTTCGAGTATTGTGCGCGTAACGCGCAGCTTGTAGGCGGATAAATAAATAAATAAAACGGACACCTCTACTAGGAGATGGGTAAAAAGGAACAGGTCCCCGCCCTGCGGTCTTTGTGCAGGGTTCTTTGTGGGTGTGGTCGGCGACTAGCCGGGGTCGTCCTCCCGATGGGGACTAGCACTAGCCGTCTTCCACATGGTCCCTCGGGTCCCTGCTGCTCCTAATCTCGTCGTACATCCTCCTGCTGATCTCAGCAACATCCTGCTCCCTCCCTCGTCTCGCCCTGCGCGTGTCTGCTCCGCCTCCCCGTCGTCTGCCCTGCGTCGTCTGGTGACGGGTCCTCCGTAGTCGGTCGAGGTCGCCGCCCTCCTCGTGCCTCTTCCCAACGTTCCCTCGGCGGCATAGCTTGTAGGCGGATGCACGCCGCACAGCTCCAGTGCATGAGCTCTAGAGACCCGTGTCGGTCCACACACCACAGCAACGAGAGAAATATTTGAATCTAGTAGAGCATGTGAGCGGCCGCACAACTGCTCGGTACCCCCCTGCACACTCACGGTACACACGGCTTTAAGCCCAGGGCCCAGGGCGGACCCCCCCCCCCCCCCCCAACAGCAGAGGGTTGCTACATGGCCGACCCCCCCCCCCCCCCCTAGCAGGGACGGGCCCTTAGAAGTGCAGGGGCGGGGGTACCGAGCAATGTGCGGCCGCTAATCATTGAGCAGCACTGTGTCCGTAAGCGCACCACAACCAGCCGCACGGCGTGCATTTTTTCATCTTTTTTCTGGTGCTCTTCTAATTAACGCTCACTGAACTCGAGCTTGGCACTGCACAATTTGCAAAAGCCAAAACGGGTCTTAGTTCACTCTATTACTCTTCGTAGATCGTACGTCTAGTACTATCTCATGTCGGGCGTCGGGGCTCGGAGACAGTCGAGATCACCCTGGATCCTCATGGTATCGTCCGTCCGCCTACGCACCTGAGCTGCTAATGCTTTACGCCCGACATGCGCCTGCATGACCGCCGCAGATCGGCTGCCATTTGTAGCGAGGACTAGACCTATCGTATGGGTGCCGCAAAGCTCAAAAACGGTCACATCAGTGGCCAGGACCGGGATGGTGGAATTCGCCTCGTCCCTTGGTTCCAGTCTGAAACTGGTATAAAGCCGTTTAATAAAGGTGTACCCCGCGTCCGCGCACGGGTAAAATACATGAACAAACCGAGAGCAACCAGGCCCACTTCTGAATCCGACGCAGGGACATGACGTTTGAATGATGAGACTTGAGAGGCGAGCCGGCGAGCGAGGGGTGGGTGAGCTTTTTTTTCGCATGTCAGCCCTGCCCCTTGCGCCTTGCCGGCCCCTTGCGCGCCTTGGACGGGCGCACTCCTTGGACCTTGCACGACATGTGGAGTTCCCCTTTCGATTCCTTCTCCGGAAAACTCGGCGACGACGATGACGACGATGATGATACGGCATGATGCCATCATCAAACTCTCAACTCTTCCCCATCGAGCATCGTCTGCATTGTCCAGCCTCATCGTCTCTGGGCCGGCGCGGGGGCCCCAGAGGGTGTCCATGCGGGGGGGAGATGGGGTCCCATGGCCCGCCGCAGGCGCCGATTTTTTGGATTGTTTTGGCGCTTTTTTACTTGTTTTCATGGGAATTCGGCGTACTTGCGGCCATGCTATCACGCCTTGCGACAGCCTGTCGGCGCTGCTGACCGTGCCATGATGCACAATTGATCACCTGCATAGCTCGCGGCCTTAGTATCAAGCATTCAGTGACGACCTGATCGTACGGCCAGTAGGTGTCCTTCCAACGTGTGCACGCTTCTGGCGCAATGCGCGTCACCTCGGATTGGCTGCTGGCACTCTCGAGGCTATGCCTACACAGCCTCGCGCGCATGGGCAGTCAAGAGGGACCACGCACCTTCTCAGGACAGCGCCGGTGCCTCTCTCTTGGACCGGCAAACTTGGTGGTATCGTGTCACCAATGTGGGACCAGTGCTGACAGACCCCTTCAACCCCTCAACCACGCGGACCCCTTCAACCCCTCAACCACGCGGAATGGCTGTTCACAACCCCCCCGCGCAAAGGTAACACACATTCTCTGTCGTCTTCTTTAGACGCCTGGATGCTGCATTTGACGCGCCGTTTTCACGAGTACTTGCTTCAGCTACGTGCGTGAATGGGAGGTGTGATTCAAAGCCCGGAGGAGCGCTGACAGCCATCGAAGGCCCCCACGGGGCGGTCCCGGCCGACGTCATGGTCGTCCCGCGGACGCGGCCCTCCGTCTCCGGAGACATTACCGAACTCAAAACTGCTTACCAAAGGCAGATACGAGCTCAGCTCAGCGAGATCTAGCAGGACATACCCTCAGTATCCAGAATAGTAAAGTCTGAAAAAGTCGGTCCGACCGCGCAGAGCGGTCTGGCTGTCTGCAGAGCTTCCGTCCGAGCCCTGAGAAATGTCGGAGGCATGTCGGCCCATGTTCGCGATTTTGATGGCATTGCCCTTATTGCACGTGAAACAGACCGCGCTGGCCACGCACCCTTGTTCCCGTAGGCCAACTCGAACAGGTTTGAGCAATGGCCGCCTTCCATGCTCGACAGTCGACACGTCCGCCCGCCATCAAGTTGTACGTTGAGTGGCAAAATGCAGCAGGAACTTAGTTGACCCTGCTCGTAGGCCGCCCTGCTCGAAGGCCGCCCTGCTCTCGGCATTGTGTTTGATGTACCAGGAAACGTAACTAGCGCCAAAATTGAGATCACAGGATGGACATTAATTTCTCGCGCCTGCTTTTGCTGCTTGAGGCTCGCCAAACAGATCCTGCGTCCATGGCCGTGTGCAACGTCAAGTCGTCAACCGCGACAAGACCATCGCGCCAACCGCGACTCTGTTGCTTTATGCGGCAGCATTCACCGTGACTCTTGCCGTGGATGGTGAGTGACCGCGGTTGCTTACGCAATACTACGCCATGAGCTGAGCTTCACCAGCCGTTTCTCGTCCTTCCCTTGCCTTCTCTTGCTGTCCGTTCTCTGTGGACTGTGCGCATTCCACTGCATGCGGCATCACAAGCGTCTTCTGCCGGGCGCGCATCTGAAATCGTACCTGGTAGGCCATCGCTTTGCTGAAAGATCAGGCGCCTGAATGGCGACAGTGAGCGTCTCCTACTTATGGATTGCGCTCGAGGTACGAGGAGCGCAAGAGCGCGCCGCAAGCGATTTTTTGGCGGCAGGGCGCGTCCAGTTTATCTTGTGATCACGCGCGAGCCTGTGAATAGGCCCGCAAATTAAGGGTTGACGGGGGGGTCTCAACCGTCAACCAGATGGTTGAAGGGGGGGCCTCAAGCCTCAACCCCTCACCACCCACCCGGACCTCTCTGACGGAGCTGACTCTGCCCACTCAAGGCTCGGCCAAGTCGCCGCCGCCGCCGCCGCCATGCCCAGCGACGACCCTGCCAGCACGCCCGAGCCGGTGGCCACGGCCACGCGAGTGCCTGCCGCGATCACTGTCGGCGTCTGTGTGATGCGGAAGAAGTGCGAGAAGCTCCGGCCGCTCCTCGCCGAGATGACGAGCGGTGGCGACATGACCGTGGTTGTATTCGAGCAACAATCCATCCTAGAGGATGCCGTCTCGGACTGGCCAGTGGTGGACGTCCTCGTTGCCTTTTACTCCAAGGGCTTTCCGCTCGCGAAGGTCGGCGAGTATGTCCGGCTCCGCGAGCCATTCTGCTTCAACGCGATCGGGCCGATGAGCGAGCTCCTCGATCGGCGAGCCATCTACTCGCGGCTGCAGCAAATTGGCGTCGCTGTGCCGAAGCACGTCGTCTACGACCACCTCGGCGGCGGCGAAGGTCTCGTGCTGCGAGAGGACTACCTCGAGGTCAGCGGCGTCCGCATCAACAAGCCGTTCGTGGAGAAGCCCGCCTCGGCCGAGGACCACAACATCCACATCTACTACCCGCCTTCGGTCGGGGGCGGCTCGAAGCGGCTCTTCCGCAAGGTGGGCGGCAGATCGCGGCCCATGTCGCGCGTTCTCGGCTGAGCTCGGCTCAGCTCCTTCCGCAAAGGTGGGCGACTGCTCGTCGGCCTTTTACCCGGACGTGTCCGAGATCCGGCGCGACGGCGCGTACATCTACGAGGAGTTCCTGCCGACCGAGGGGGCTGACCTGAAGGTCTACACGGTCGGACCCAAGTATGCGTACGCCGAGGCGCGCTCTCCCGTGGAGCCCGTGGAAGTGCTCATCTCCGCCACGCCAAGGCCTCGCATCGGGCCCTCAGGCACCCGCCTCTGGAGCTGAGAAGTGCTCCCTCTGTTGACGGTTAACAGGCGCGCAAGTCCCCGACCTTGGACGGGCGGGTGGTGCGCGACCCGAGCGGCAAGGAGGTCCGCTTCCCGGTCCTGCTCACGGCGCACGAGAAGGACGTGGCGCGCCGCATCTCGCTCGCCTTCGGTCAAATGGTCAACGGGTTCGACATCCTCCGTGCGCACGGCGCCTCGTACGTGTGCGATGTCAACGGCTGGTCCTTCGTCAAGTCCTCCTCGGCTTACTACCAGGCGCGCGGGCTGCCCGCCTCCTCCCTCCTCACGTCTCCTCCCTCCACGCCTCCTCCCTCCTCACGCCTCCCTGCCTCTCGCACCGCTCCTCGCCCCTCCAGGACGCGGCCGCCGTCCTCCGTCGCATGGCGCGGCGCGCGATCTCTGGCGAAGACTCGCCCTTCCTCGGAGCCCACATGGGCCCTCCCCACATGGGCTCGCCGCCGTCGCTCGGCTGCTCCGGCGACCGCCTCCCCGCCAACCTCTTCAGCCGCACCGAGCCGGCGGAGCAAGGCTGCGCGCGGGCGGCGGCGGCGACGCGGCCGCCCGAGCTGCGCGCACTCGTCGCCGTCGTGAGGCACGGACGGCCGCACTTCGGAGCAGAAGCTGCCTAGAGCCTTCCTCGAAGCTTCTCGGAGCCTTCCCGCAGGCACGGCGACCGGACGCCGAAGCAGAAGCTCAAGATGAGGGTTCGGAACGCGAAGCTGCTGCGCTGCTTCGAGGCGCACGGCGTGGGGCGCGGCTGCGCGGAGGCAAAGCTCAAGACGCCCGTCCAGCCGCAGGAGGTGGTCGGCCGTCCGTGAGCCATCCGCGGAGCTTTCTGTGACGCTTCCTGTAGGCCCGTTCAGCTGCAGGAGGTGCTCGACCTCGTCGAGGCGCTGCTCGCGGAGAGCGACGCCAAGCTCGCGCCTGGCTCGGAGAACTCGAGCGAGTCCGAGGCGGAGCGGCGCGGCTGCTTGGGCACGTCCACGGCACGTCCCCGTGACGCGTCCACGACACGTCCATGCCAGGCGGACGGCGTGCCGCTCGGCAAGCTGCGCCAGCTCCAGCTCGTGCTGCGGCGCGGACGGAGGGCGCACGCGCAGGCTGTGAGCAGCGCCTGATGCCGGCACGAGTGTGCACAGGCGTGGCCCCTTCGGAGGGCTCAACCGCAAGCTGCAGGTCAAGACGGTGCGCGCCGCCGAGGGAGGCCGCCTCGAGGAGGCGCTCCTCGTCGCAAAGTGGGGAGGAGAGCTGACCGAGGCGGGGAGGGCGCAGGCGGAGCGGCTTGGCCGCTCGCTGCGTGAGCAGCTCTCGCGCGCCGACGGCGCCGACAACCTGCTTCACCTGCACTCGACCTTTCGGCACGACGTCAAGTTCTACTCGTCGGACGAGGGGCGCGTGCAGCTCACGGCGGCGGCGATCGCTAAGGGCCTGCTCGAGCTGGCGGGCGAGCTGCCACCCATCCTCGTGTCGCTGATCCGCAAGGACGCCGCCGCGAACGCCCTCCTCGACGACAGCTCCGCCGTCTCGGCGCAGGTGGGAGAGGCAGCCGAGATGGCAGCCGAGAGGCAGCCGAGAGGCAGCCGAGGGACAGCCGAGATGGCAGCCGAGAGGCAGCCGAGAGGCAGCCGAGAGGCAGCCGAGGTGAGAGACAGCCGAGAGGCAGCCCAGATGAGAGGCAGCCGAGAGGCAGCCGAGAGGCAGCCGAGGAGCAGCCGAGGATGCAGCTTGCAGCCGAGGTGAGCATCGCGTCTCGTCGCAGGCGAGCGAGATCAAGCGCGTGCTGCACGGGCTGATGCAGCAGCCGCCCGGCCTCGAGAGCGAGGCCGGGCTCGCGGGGCAAACCTCAAGCGAGCCTCGGCCCAGCCCTCCTCGAGCCCTGTCGGAACTTACCCGCAGGCGGAGCTCGCCGAGCGGCTCGTGCCGACGAGGCTGCCCGCGCTGCTCGCGCCGCTGCGCGAGGTGGGCAGCCCGCGCGCGCGCGTCAAGGCGGCCCACGAGGGCGGGCCGCATCCAAGGACACGTCCGTGACTCGTCCATGGCATGTCGTCACAGGCGGTGCACGAGCAGGCGGGCCGGCTGCTCGCCTTGCTGCGTCAGCTGCGCGCGCAGCTCGGCGACGAGAGCACGGGCTGCCCTCGCGGCGAGAGGAAGAGCCTGCCCGGAACCTTCCCGGAACCTTCCGATAGGCGACGAGTACGAGCTCCTCTCGAGATCACGCGAGATTCCCCGAGATCACCCGAGATTGGCCGGGCAGTAGGCGACGAGTACGAGCTCTACGGCGGCGAGAGCCTCTTCCTCGCGCTGCAGCGGTGGCGCAAGCTGACGACCGAGCTACACCGGCCGCGCAAGGACTCGGGTTTCGACATCTCAAAGGCAGCCCGACAGCCGGTTCACCAAAGGGAAGGGCGAGCAGTGCCACACCGCCATCGCCCCCCCCCCCCCCCCCTCGCAGGTGCCCGACATCTACGACGCCGTCAAGTTCGACTTGCGCCACAACCACGCGCGGCTGCACGGCGCGCTGCCCTGCCTCTGCGAGCTGCTGCGGCTGGTGCGGCCGCTCGCTCAGCTGGTCGTCCCGCTCGAGTACGGGTCTGCGGTGGGAGACATGCTCGCGGTCGCCGTCGGCACGACCGCCGCGCTCTGCCGCAAGCTCGTCCTCGACTTACGCTCCGACCTGATGCGCCTCGAGCACGGCGGCGACGCAAACCACCCCGAGACCGTGCACCAGCTCGACCCGAAGCACCGCTCGCGGCGGCCAGTGACGCCCTCCTCGAGGGGCCTCCCCCCGACACGGCCGCGGCACGGCCCCCTAGGCACCTCGCGGCGATCAGCCCGCGGCACGACGACCACCTCAAGACACGCTTCTACCTCACGTCCGAGTCGCACGTCTACACGCTGCTCAACCTGCTGCGGCACGCGCCACAGGCGCTCGGCGTCCCCTCCCTCTTCGACGAGGCTGGCCGTGCCGCTCTCGACGAGATAGGCGAGCTGTCGTACCTCACGCACCTGATGCTGGCCGTCTACGAGCACTGCGACGAGCCGGCCGACGACCCGCTCCGCTTCCAGGTGGTCGTCAAGTTCTCGGCGGGAGACCGCTCCGCGCGCGAGGAGGAGGCGGACGCGGAGGGCGGCAGACGCGGAGGGCGGCAGACGCGGGCCGACGCGGAGCGAGGCGGCGCGGAGAGTGCCGAGCTGCCGCTGCAGCCGCTGCACACGCTGCACCGCTCGCTGCCGCTGCGGTCCGTGCTCCGCTTCTTCGAGCACGTGTCGGACAGCCTCGAGAACGCCGCCACGCCGGAGCAGCGCCGCGCCGCGCACAGCCTCTCCTCCTCCCTCTCGACCGGGCCGGCGCGAGCGGCGGCGGTCTCGCGCTGCGCGCCGCCGTTTGGGCGCGCCGGCTCTGGCGACTCGGCGTTGAGCCTCTTTGCAAACGCCACGGTCACCGCACCGCCCGCGCGGCCCGAGCTGCTCTCCTCACCCGCCGGTGCGGCCGCCGGCAACGGTGAGACGTGACTCGTGAGGCGTGTGAGCGGGGCCGGCGCAGGGGGAAAGAGTCTCACTCTAGGAGCGCATTCGATGAAGAGTCGTGAAAGAGCCTTCCTTTTTTTCGTGTTTTGTGTTTACACAGTTGACGTTCCGCGCCCCCCTCGCTCACCGCAGCCTACTCAGCGCCACAACTCGCAAGTTCCACAGGGAGTGGGTGAGGATGCTCACGGCGAGGTTGCCGCTGCCGACGAACGTGGCCGAGAAGACGAGGCCGAGCGCCGCGAGGGGCAGAGTGGGCTGGCCGGGCCCGGTGCCGTGGTGGAGGGCAAAGAGCGCGGCCGAGGCGGGCGCGGCGAGACCGAGCGGCATGTGCTGCCTCAGCGCGCGCAAGAGGAAGCCCCTGTAGAGCACCTCTTCGAGAAAGGGGCCTGAGGCGCACGCGGTGAAGACCGAGAGGGCGAAGGCGAGGCCGTCGTCGAGGGAGGTGATCTGGGCGGTGATGGTGGGGGCGGCGGAGGCGAGCGCGCCCAGCCCCAGCTCCGGCGACGGCGCCAGGCTGGAGGCGAGCTCAAAGGCAGGCACGCACGCAGCGGCGCCGCACAGCACCCACCGCAGCCAGGATGCGCTCCAGTCGAGCCGGAGCCAGGCCGAGCGCGGAGCAAAGAAGCCGAGCTCGTCGCCGAGCAGGCGGACTGCCATCCCGACCCACGCGAGGTGCCCCGCCAGCGTCGCGAGCGCCCACGCTCGGGGAGCCGCCAGGCGCGGCGTTGCCGCAGCGAGCAGCCAGCCAGCACCCTGCTTGATGCAGCCGGAGAGGAGGTACCTCGCGCCAAGCGCCGCCAGCAGAAACGCCAGGCGCCGCCGACTGAGGCGCGGAAGGCTCGGCTCGCTTGCAGGCGACGAGAGCGCGGCGAGCGGAGGCACACACCGTGGCGCCAGCCACAGCGCCGCTGCCGCGCCGATCGCGTCCTCCAGGTAGAGGTCGCCCAAGGGTGGGACGCGCAGCGTGACGCGCGAGATCAGCGCGGTGTGCAGACCAAAGGCGGGAGCGAGGACCGAGAGCTGCCTCGCGGCCGGCACCAGCGCAGCGGTCATTTTCGCGGTCGGATAGGGCGGCGGCAGAGGCGGCGGCGTGGGGGCGAGGCCGTTTTGGGAAGGGCGGGGGCGACCCCCGGACCTGGGCGGCGGCGTTGCCCGGGCGGGGTGGCCTGGGCGGGGTGGAAGCCGTAAGAAGAATTACAAGCCTCCCTCGCACAACACTGGGCACGGGACTGGCGCGCACTGGCACTAACTGTTCCCGGGCATTCACACTATGTTCGGGAGATAATTTGGCGATTATATCCATAAGGGATTTCATCCCTTCTTGGATTGGAGATTCGTGTTTTGGTTCCGGTTTTGGGTAAAACGTATACAGCGAACGCGATGCGGCCGCCTGGCTTCCTGCTTCTATGCGCGAGCTACGGCGTGACCGCTATCGTTCATGACTTCTCTACCGGGAAGAACGGCCTCGACTACTGCATCGCCGAGGCCGACACCACCGGCGACATGACAGCGTCGACCACCATGGCAGCTCCAACGTGTGCGCTACCATGGTGGACAAGTCTTGCACCCTACATGTCAGCCACCACCTGGGCGCCTGGCGTGTGCGAGCACAACCCCAATCGAGCCGAAGGATCTGAACAATGGGTCCAGTCGGTCTCGTCGAGCACGTTCGAGCCCGCCATTTGCATCGACAATTCATTTCTCAAAGTTTTGTCGATAAATTGGCAACTTGGGTCAGAACACCTTGAGGACATGTGTGCCTCGCCCCACACTACCTCCCAGGCGATGGAGCACGCGCTACAGTCGGCTCCTGAGGCCTCATCCACCTACTGCGGCCAATCTGAATTTTCGGCCCTCTGCAGCCCCGCGATACAGGTGCACTCATGGCCCAATACGATGGCGCTACAACTCATGAGGCACGGGACTCTTGCTGCGACAACCCAGCCCCATAGGAAGCCTGCGACATACATGCCGCCGCCACCTTTGCTGGATCACCCAATGCTGCCCATTCTTCTGGGTCAGTGCGACGGGCATGGTCCCCTTTGCTTCCAAAATGTTTCACCATGGAATGCAACGCAAAAAGTCCTTGAGCCCTTGTGTAATGGGACAGAGGCAGTGCCCTTGTGTAATGGGACATGTCCTTCTGGAAAGGAGTTTGCCATCTACTTCCAAAACGGGACTCCCTGGAATACAACGCTGGGAACTACCCCTTGGCAGAAAGTCCTTCCCCGGGACCACTCGGACACGTCGAGTGCAGGAGAGGCAGAGCCCTTGTGCAATGGGACATGTTCTTCTGGGACAGAGGTAGTGCCCTTCAACAATGGGACATGTGGTATCATCTGGCCACTCCATGGAACCACCGATGCTGCGAAAGCCCTTTGCCTTGATCACTTTCGGCGACGCGGCAAGCGCGATTGGGTCAAATACGAGCTCCATTGGAACTATGCATTCTCAAACAAGAATTGCGCTCGGGTACAGTCCACATGGATGGGAATGATCTGGCCATTTTTTCTTTGCTTTGCTCTCGTTGGGTCCCTTTTCCTTGCTTACTCCCTGCTGACAAGTGCACTGACAATTGGCGACCTGTTTGCTTACCAGACCATGAGCAGCCTTATGATTGTCAAAGCGTGGTACGGATTGCGACACTATGGTGCAAATACCAAGCTACTGATCATCAACCTGGGTATTCAAATCAAGTGGGTCTTTGACTGGTATTTTTGCCTTGCGCCAGCTGCACTTGCGATATGCGGCATCATCCTACTCGTTGCTTGGGGCTTTGCAATCTACGATTTCGTGCGATCCCTCCTATACTTCGCCAGGTATGCATGCCTCGTCGCCTTTGAGGTCATCACCAGCACTACTGTCAAAACTGTTTGCTTCATTTGGACACCTGTTACCACCACCATCTCCTTTGGGTGCCCGTATGCAATCGTTTGCGTCAGCATCTCGCCGCTTCGATTCGCCTATGGAAGAGGGGCTCGAATTGTCTGCCGATGATCAGCCCGCCGTTGGATCTGTTGAATACGACGAGATGTCCGAGTTCCGCACCGCCTACATGGCCATCGTCGGCGGACTACTGTGGCTTGCCAACATGACGCGCGTCGACATTGCTTATTCCGCGTCTCAGCTTGCTCGGTTTATGACGAACCCTGGCCCGTCGCATTTTAAAGCCGCCATCCGGGTGCTTATCTACGTGCGCGACACAGTTGATCGCGCCCTCGTCATGCAGCCGAACCCCAACCGCGACCTTGAGAGCTACGTCGATTCAAACTGGGCAACGAAGTTCTCTTGCTCCGGTGGCATGTTCTTCTTCTACGGATGTCTCTTCCACTGGTTCTCCAAAATGCAGCGATCTGTCACGCTGTCTAGTGCCGAGGCAGAGTTCTTTGGCGCCATGCTAGCCGCCAAGGAGGTGATTTTCATTCGTGAGCTACTGATCGACCTTGGATTTTCCATCGACGGCGCCAGCGTCATCAACTGCGACAGCAAATCCGCCGTCGGCATGGCCTTCGATCCCGTTGCCTTCAAGAAGACCAAGCACATCTTGCGCGCCGCCGAATTCCTTCGCGATCTCGTCAGCCGTGGCGTTATCTCTGTCGAACACCTCCCCGGCGTCGTGATGCTCGCCGACCTGCTCACGAAGGCTGCCTCGCGGGCCATCTTTACTGGCCTTATCAAGCAGCTTGACGACTTTCATGCCCTCTGAATTTGTTTGTCCCTCGCGCCCCGCACTCGGGCCAGGAGGGGCTGTTCCCGGGCATTCACACTATGTTCGGGAGATAATTTGGCGATTATATCCATAAGGGATTTCATCCCTTCTTGGATTGGAGATTCGTGTTTTGGTTCCGGTTTTGGGTAAAACGTATACAGCGAACGCGATGCGGCCGCCTGGCTTCCTGCTTCTATGCGCGAGCTACGGCGTGACCGCTATCGTTCACTAACACAGGTACACCGCCAGTCCCCCCGTGCGTAAGAAGAAACGCAGACGGTTTTTGAGAGGGAGCTTTTGTAAAATCCTCCTCTGCTTATCCTTAAAACTGTGTGGTGACGGCGTGGTAACCCAGCCCTCCTTTACTACGGTGTGTTTTCTTTCTTTCTTTGACCCGACATCGCTCATCGCACATCGGCCCGACTCAGCGGACAAACGCGTTGGGGTTGTTCGACATCTTGATGTAGGGCACGTAGTCGTCGCCGGGCGAGCCGGCGTGGCCGGCGGCGACGCCCTCGCTGCGGTCAAGGGCCTCGAAAATCGACTGCTGGATCCCGGTGCCCATGGCGGTGAGCGGCAAGATGGAGAAGGGCTCCTCGATTTGGTTGCCGAGGTCCTCGATGCCCACCAAGAAGAATCCGATGAGGCCCGAGACCGGGACGATCATCCAGTTTGCCCGAAGCTGATTGTACAGGCAGACTGGCAAAAAGAGCAGCCACCAAGAGAGGAACCGGGCGGTGTGGCGCGTGTAGACCAGCGGCAGTGGGGTCTTGACGATCCTCTCGCACTTGCCCAGGTAGTCCGTCAGCAGCGAGAGAGTCTGATCGAGCTTGGAGGCCTGGACCGTGTCGAGGCCGGTCCGCCCCGAGTCATGCAGGCTAGCAGAGACGAGCCCGAGCAGCGCCATCGGCTTATGCTTCGCCTCCATAATGACCCGGACCTGGTCGGCCGGCAAGCGGTTGTCGACGAGCTCGTTCCGCAACAGGTCCCTCGCCTCAGGAGTGGGCGGGCCCAGATGGTACTTGAGGACGCGCGCATACGAGGCGATCTGCGAGACCATGAGCTTCTTCAGCTCCGCGTCGCGCACGAGGGCCAGGGCCTGGCGAGCGAGGTCGCGGGACGCATTGATGACGCCGCCCCAGACCTTACGCGCCTCCCACCACCTGTCGTACGAGTTGTTTGTCCGGAAGACCAGCAGCAGGAAGAGGGCGGGCGACGAGAGGGTGAGCGGGAGGAGGGAGAGGTGGAGGAGCGGCAGCCGGCCGAGAAGGGCGGCCACGATGGGCAGCGACGCCGCGGTCTTGGCAGCCAGCACGGGCACGCCGATGTTGTACAGGTAAACAGCGGCGGCAGTGGCGATGACGAAGAAGGTCTCCCTCCACATGGCCTTACCGACCCCGGAAGTGAAAACCGACGATATTGCGCTCGCGATATGGCCCGACTCGCGATGCCATCGCCAGTCGTTGTAGCTGTAGACGTCCTGCCGGAATTCGCGCCCTGCCTCCTTGAACTCGGTCGTGGAGGAGAAGATGGCGGGAAGGCTCGCACCGAGCACAGCTTCTCTGGTCGGGAACCTGGCGTGCTCCGCCATCGTCAGCGGCGGCCGGGGCGCCGGAAGCGCGCTGGCTGGCGCCCAGCGGTGCACGAGCGCAAGCGTTGTGGTCGCAGCGAAGGGAAGCATCGCTCCGGGCGCAGCGTGGAGGCTGGAGTGCGGTCGTAGCCCTCGCCACACGTAGCCTTCGCCCCGGGGACGCGGGCAGCGGCGGGCGCAGGCGGGAAAAGGAAGGAAGGTTGCGCGCAACTTTCTGCGAATCTCGCGAGGTCTCGAGGTGCCGGACTTGGCGCTTTTGTATCTCGAGACCTCGAGAGAAGAAGGGCCCGAGCTATCTTTCTTTAAAAGCCCGTCTTGTCCTTTCGCCTGCGGAAACGTTCAGCTCTCCCTGGCGTGGCATATCTCGTCAACCTGCATGATGGGGGGAACCTCGCTGCATCTCGCATCTCTCGTCGGTATGTCCGCAGCGCGCTTCGCTCGACTGCTGGTCGTTCCAGACGGCCCAGGTCGCAGCGACAACAGGCTCACGTGCGGCGGCAGCGGTGGTGGCGCCCTCGACGGCGGCCCCCCGACACCAACAGTCGCGCTCCGCACGCCTCAAGGTCAGCTGCGGCCAAGCGACGATCGGCTCGCTCCGATCGCTGGGCGCGGTCACTCACCGGCCCATCACCCGCCTGCCGATCACCTGTCCGCCTCGCCGCGCGCGGGCCGCTCGCCTGCTCGCCACTGCCGCCGCGCGTCCCCGCGCCGCCACGCTTCCCTGTGCACCTGACCGCGCTCGAGCTGCGCAGACGGCGCGCGCTCTGGCAGACAGAGCAGCGGCCGCCCAGGCGGTCGCTGCTCCGCCCCGTCCGAATCCGTCCGCCCGCGCGTGCCGCTGCCGCCGCCGCCGCCACCACCGCCGCCGCGTTTCCCCGCGCCGCCACGCTTCCCTAAAAACAGGCCGTGCCAGGCCGTGCCAGCCCACGAGGCTGCCCGCCCGTCCCGGGGGACACACAAAACAAGGGGTGGGAGAAGGACAGGGTCCCCACCTGCACGAGCAGGATCTTGTAAGGACGATCAGGGAAACCACGGGCTCATCGCCGAGGAGCTTGCTCCCCCCTACGCCGCTGCCCCCGCTGCGCAGCCTCACCGCAGTGCACTGCGCTCTCCGCGCCCCTGACGATTAGTGAGGAGGTGGTGTTGCACAGCATGGAGCTCGGCGAGCGTTTACATGCACACTGACACAGGGGTGGCAGGGGCGGCGGCACGAGTCTCCCACATACTATGCGGGCCTCACTAGAGGTGCGGCCTGTGCGTGTCCTCGCCCTTGAGGGGGGAGGGGAAGGGGCTGTGTGTCTGTGCATGTGTGTGTGTGTGTGTGTGTGTGTGTGTGTGTGTGTGTGTGTGTGTGTGTGTGTGTGTGTGTGTGTGTGTGTGTGTGTGTGTGTGTGTGTGTGTGTGTGTGTGTGTGTGTGTGTGCGTGTGCTGGGAGAGAGGCTTGCACTTGGAGCACTTGGAGTGCAATCAGTAACCTCACGCCCAGGACCGGGGAGCTGAGAAGCGCACCCAGTTGGCCGGACGCTCGGCATCGGGTTACGGGCTAGAGAGCTCGGATTAAGAATTCTTTTTCTCGCCATGTCAGCCCCGCGGCGCCGCTCGCGCCGCCTCGCCGCCTCCGCCGCCGCCCCCTCGCCAGACACGCCGCCGCCCGCCCGCCTCCTCGACCTTCCCACGGAGCTCCTCGCGCGCGCCATCTCTCGCCTCGATGGCCCCCTCGACATCGCTCGCGTCGCGGCCGTCTCGCTGCTCTTCCACGCCTCGCTTGCGCTGGAGGGCATCCGCTTGTGGGCGCAAGAGCGCGGCTTCGAGCTGCCGGCGCAGCCCGAGGGCGAGAGCTGCGCCGTGCGGTGGCTGTGCTATTCGGCGCTGCTGTGCGAGTCCAACCCGCCGGCGAGGGCGGCGGGAAGCTTGCAGCACAGCCTCTTCATCGACGGCGAGGGGCGGCTCTCGTCGTGCGGCAATGCGCCGTCCTACGCCCCAGGGCTCCTTGGCCACGGCGAGGGTGTGACGCGGCTCAACACGCCGACCCTCCTCCCTTCGCCGCTGGGCGGAGAGCGCGCCGTGAGCGTGTCGGCTGGAGGATTCCATTGCCTCGCCATCACCAGCAGCGGGGCTATCTGGAGCTGGGGCGATGGAGGCGACGGCATCCTGGGCCATGGCGATGAGCAGGACCAGCTGCTGCCCAAGAAGATCGAGGCCTTTGCTGACCAGCGCGTCGCCACCGTGTCGGCTGGAGCCGGGCACAACCTCGCCACCACCGCCGACGGTGCCATCTGGAGCTGGGGCTTTGGAGGCTTGGGCGGGCTGGGCCACGGCGACGAGCAGGACCAGTCGCTGCCAAAGAAGGTCGAGGCCTTTGCTGGCCAGCGCATCATCGCTGTGTCGGCGGGAGAGCACCACAGCCTCGCCCTCACCACCGATGGCAGCGTTTGGAGCTGGGGCAGTGGAGTCTTTGGCCAGCTGGGCCACGGCGACCAGCAGGACCAACTGCTGCCGAAGAAGGTCGAGGCCTTGGCGGGCCAGCGCGCCGTGGCTGTGTCGGCTGGAGGGGGCCACAGCCTCGCCCTCACTGCTGACGGCGCCGTCTGGAGCTGGGGCCATGGAGCCTCTGGCAAGCTCGGCCACGGCGACCATCAGAACCAGCTGCTGCCAAAGAAGGTCGAGGCTTTCGCTGATCAGCGCGTCGTCGCTCTGTCGGCTGGAGCACACCACAGCCTCGCCCTCACCGTCGGCGGCAGCGTCTGGAGCTGGGGCCGTGGAGCCTTTGGCCAGCTGGGCCACGGCGACGAGCAGGAGCAGCTGCTGCCCAAGAAGGTCGAGGCCTTTGCTGGCCGGCGCGTCGTCGCAGTGTCGGCTGGAGTAATCCACAGCCTCGCCCTCACCGGCGACGGCGCTGTCTTTACCTGGGGCAAGGGCGGCTTCGGCTGCCTAGGCCACGGAGAGGACATGTCGAACCAGCTGCTGCCCAAGAAGGTCGAGTCGTCGGCGCCGGGGCAGTGATGAGAAGGGCGAAAGGGCGCAAGGCTCAGTGTTGCCGCGTTGCCCACGTGCCTACCGCCACCTGCGACGTATGCGAGAGTTGCGAGAGGCGAATCCGGGAAGGGAGAGATTGAAGCATGGTCCACTGCTGTGATGCCCCGTGACATGAAGACCCCGTGTAGATAGAGTGCACGCGCCGCCAGGCGCGTCCCCACTTTTTGCATCACAGCTGCGAGGCATAGAGTTGTGTGGCGTGTGTGGGACGAGCGAGCCCCACCAGCACCACGATTGGCAGCGCCAGCGGAGTTTCTGAAAAGGACACTCTCTGCTCTTCTAGGGTGCGATACTTCCGGGCCGGTGTGCGGGGAGCGAACCTCAAAGACCGCCCAGAAGCTTTCTGTATTCTGAGCGAACCAATCGGGCCAGGATCATCAGCATATGTCCCCTCCACAACATCGTGGGCGTTTGAGCGGTATTTGAGGAGCACCGCGACTCTGAAGTTCGGCCGGGTGGTCTGCAGACCCCCCCCCCCGGAGCAGCAGAGGCTCCGTGGGGTCGAAAAGTCGACGCTGGGAGTCGCACTCGTCAAACCATCGCAGCACCACGCAGTCCGCACGTACCGCCCACATCCCCTCCACCGCTGAGAAGGCGCAGATCGACCGCCGGGCCGCGTAGTCGTCGTTAAGGAGCGGTTTTTGGAGCCGTACGAAGAGGTCCCAGACGGGCGAACATGCGGTTTTTCGACGACCACACGCGATGTGGTATCTGCTTTTTGCTAAAAACGGGCCGCCTAGTGCAGCATCACTAGTACAACACGCAACCACACTGATAGCTCCACACTAGCCGGTATAGGCGAGCCCCGGCGGCCTCACCGTCGCCGCTCGCGGCGGAGCCGACGGCGGAGCCACGGGCCGGTGCGACCTTTTGGGGGGACATGAGCTCGCCAGGACGTCGCCGATGGCTCGGCGCGCCTCTTCTTGCCAGCGCGGGACGGCCTACCTACAGGAGGGGGGGGGGAGGAAGACGGAACTGAGCACTAGGTTCGTGATCCCGTCGCCGGCAACGGCTGGGACAGGGGCGGCAAACGACGGGCGGGTCCGCGAGACCTTTTGATTGAGCGCCAATGAGCTCGCCGGGAGGCTCTCGATGGCTGCCTGCACTTCTTCTCGACGGGCTTTCGTCGGGCCGTGCCTGGTCGGCGGGGCTTGGGTGAGGTGAGCGGGCGGGAGTCGCATATGAGTGTCGCGGGCAGTGCACGGTGGCTCGGTGGGTAACCAAAAACACCTTTTGCGCAAAAACGGGTCCTTCGCCATGCGCGGTCCTTGCTGACCCTGCCAAACTCTCTCGCCGCCGTTCGCGGCTCGGCTTGCGTATGCGGCTGGGAGCTTCGAGGACATGCAGGTGTCCCACCCCCTCCGGCCATCCCCCCGGCTCCCAAGTGCGCGGCCGCGACGCGCTGCGCACCCTCTTCCGCGCTGCACCCGCTCTCGGCACGGCCTTCGTCCGACGAGATCACCTCTTCGCGCCGCAGGTGCACAACCAAGGGCTGGCCACCTCCGTATCCATCATGGTGAAGCCAATGGGCCAAAAATGGCAACTCGTACGAGAGCGTCGTGGGGCCTCCGCGGCGCGCCTTGGGCAAGGCGGCGGCATGTGTGCACTTGTTGAAGATGGCACGCCGCAGGGCCATCGGTTGTACGCCCGGCTCGTCGGCTGTGAACTCGGGGCGGGGCGGCAGGCACTGCGGCGTGTGAGGTTGAAGAGGGACTCGAGACGATCGCCGGGTCCCGGCCTCGCCCGCGTCAGTCCGCGCTCTTACTACACGCACCACACGCAGCGGATCTCCGCCGCCGCGGTGCGGGCCGACGCCAAGAACATCCGTAACCAGATTGCCTGCCTCAAACAGAGCGTGTGCGCGGCCGCCTAGGCGGCCCGCCCCTCCCCACCATAATTGCCATGGCTGCCCCGCAGCTAGTGAGTCGCACCGTCGTCCGGCACCGCTATGGGTAGAAGTGCGGTTTAGACGGCTTAGAACGGTACAACCGTTCTAAACGAGTATGTGATTCACAGTCTGCTCCCCAAGGAAGATAGATGGCGGAGCTGAGCCAGCTGTGAATCACATACTCGTACTGTTAACTCAGGGTTAAGCGTGACCTTGCAAGGTCCTGCCGCCAGGGCAGCGCCGCTCGTTCCGTGTCGCGCAGGGGCTCGCGCGCACTCGGGGCGCGCGCGCACTCGGGGCGCGCGTGGGCAGGGCTCTGCCACACGAGCGAATCTCCCACGAAGCACAGCCGTTTCTGTCGTGCACGGCCTGGGTGATGCGCATGGCTACGCCGCAGCAGCTCCGCTAGCGGCACCGCAGGCCTGCATCCGTCCGGCCACTCGATGGCGAGCTGAGACGTAGTTGTGCTTGGCTGCGCGGCCCACTCCGAGCTCCTGTTTGGCAGGCCGGCCTCCTGCCGAGCAGAGTGCCAGCGCAGCGCCTCCTCGCGCTCGCTGAGCGTGCACCTGCCCCGCAGCTGGTCAGGAAGGGTGGACGTCTGCCGGCGGCAGCGCCCGGAGGAGATTGTCAGGTCGTTCATGCGGCAGCTGTGTGGCGGGTAGCTTGCGCGTCACCTAAAGGGTTACCGTCGGTACCCATATATCTGGGGCGCGTGCATTCACAGCACCGCATTCACAGCGAGGAGTTTTTGTTTGTGCGCAGCGCGATGTGTATGTAGCGCAGTCCTGGCCAATCCGCTGACAGCAAAGCGCGACTTTGTCGAACGCTGTGTCGACAGGGGAGGGGACGGGATCACGTTTTCACCAGCTGCTTGTGTGTGCGCGTCGTCACTACACCTTGGTCTGGGTGGGTCGCAGGAGCAGACATGTGGTCCTTCGCCGGCAACTGCTCCCCACCCGCCACGCCGTATACAGTGCTGCAGCCCACGTTCCCGTCCAGTGGCCGCGGCTGGATGCAATCACTCGTACACCACGCCCTTCAACAGAGCGGCTTCAACAAAGATAACAAGCGCTCGCAAAACGTGCCACTTGGGGGCAAGATCTTTGTGTTCACCCATGCTCACAGCGAGGGCGTCGAGCTGGAGTGGACATTCACGCACGAGCTAGATGGAAACCACTCGCTCGCCCTCGTCGAGCACACAGAGCGGCCTCAGCTCGTCGTCCGCGTTGTGCGCGAGCCACTGGCCAACGTCGACGCCTACTTCCGCTATCAGTCGAGAATATCAGAACAAGCAAACGCCACACAGCCGGCCTGGAAGGCCTTTGCGAGTCAACGTCTCCGCGACTACCCCAAATTCCACAACCAATGGGCAGGAATGTGCACAAGGCCTCACGTATGCTGCATGCGCACCACCTATGAGCAGCTGAACGAGGACCCGGGGAGCCTGCTCAAGACGCTGTTCAGGACGTGGCTGGGGCGGTTGCCCGTGCACGTCACCGACCAGGCAGTGGCCGCCGCGGTTGAGAAATTCGCGCCTATCCACAGCAAGCATAGTCGTAACGGGTCCATGACGGGGTCGACACACTGGCCGCAGCTGCAGCTCACCTTGCCCAGCGGATCAACAGAGTGGCAGCTGCAATTCACCTTGCCCAGCGGGAACAGCTTTCAAGGCTTCCCGCCAGAGCTGATCATAGCGGCCCGCCGCGCCGGCGCTCAGTGATGGCTGCCTACACACCTGTCCGCCCTCACACAGGGCATGGAGTGAAGGTTACAATAATGGGGGGTTTGTGTGAATTGTTATGTATAACAACTGTGAATGTGAACGACTGGCTATTATGGCGGAGGTGAAGCCGTGAAGGACTCGCAAGGCCAGCCTGTCGGGACGCGCAGCCTCATCAGCGTGGCTGTTTGTGGGCAGGATGGACCGGGGAGTTGGCGCCCCTCCCACGGCGACGAGGTGGTGGACGCGATCCGACGCGCGGGCGTGGTCTTGCTGCCGGTCCACCTCGACGTCGCACGCCGCACTTCACGCCGCCAGGCGCGGCTGGTGGCGGCGCACGCCGCCCTTGACGCCAAGTACCGAGAGGACAAGAAGACGTACTATTTCTACGACAAGACTGGCCGGGCCTACCGCATCTACAACCCGAGAGGGCTGCCCCCGGCGCATGCATACCTTCCGCTTACCGAATGGAGCTCGCGCAGCAATCTTCTACAACACGCTCAGCGCCGATACTCCGCGACGATTCACCATTCGGCCTGGAGGGAGATGCATGCGGCGGCGGGCCGCGCAGGGAGGAGGGAGCAGGTGCGGTTTGTCTCGGCGAGCCAGTTCGGCGCGGGTGCATTCTTGAACGCGATCCCGACCCGCGCGCGCACTTCCGTCTCTTGCCCTCGTACGTGCTGCGCTTCGCGCTGCAGCGCCGCTTCGGATTGCACCTGTCGATGATGACGGACGTCATGGCGGACGGCATCTACAGCCAGCACGATCTGCCCTTAAACGCCCTCGGCGACGTGGCGCAGTACGACGGCGCGGCGGGCCTCCGGGCCACCAGACGCGGCACAAGGAGGTCCTCCTGGACCTTGTCGAGCTGCTGCGGGGCAAGCTTGGGCGCGGCGCGGTGGAGCACGAGTTGCACTGCGAGCACAGCACTACGAGGACGGACTTGTACATTTACCAGGGGGTGAACGGGGACCTGCCCTGCATCGGCGACACGAAGATCTTTGCCGGTGTGCCGTCGGACCCCTCGGGGGTGGGGCGCATGGGGGCATTCGTCGCTTGCGCAGAGGGGAAGTGCCGTGTGGAGGCGCTGCTCTTCGAGGAGTTCGGCGCGATGAGCGCGGGGGTGGTCGGCGCGCGAATGGATGCCGTTTGCGCTGCAGCGGCTGTCGGTGCAGCTCTGGATGGCGCTCGCGGACGAGGCACAGCGCGCCATTGGTGCGGCGTCACGCGGTCGCGAGGGGCCGCGGGGGAATGCTAGTGGGATAGGGGGCTCTGAGGGGAAGGGAGCGGGGGGCGCCCAGTAGGGCGCCGGCACCCCAGCGTAGAGGGCGTCGTGTAGCCCTCCTTTCTTTTGCAAAAGAAACGGTTTAAACTCACACAACCCGAGGATGGGAGACGGCACGCCAGCAGAAAGAAAAGAAAGAAAAGAAAGGTGCCCGTGTTTACTTTAAGGCCCTTGCCCTGCGAATGCGCACCCCCCCTAGCTAGGGGTCAGGGCTCTCTAGCCCGTAGCCCGATCCCGATCATCCGGCCCGCTGGATGCGCTTCTCAGCTCACCGGCCCTGGATGTGAGGTTACCGACTGCACTCCAAGTGCTCCAAGTGCTCCAAGTGCCGGATTGTTGCGTGGCTTTTCATTTTCTGTACCGATTTTTCTTTTGAAGGGGAGCATCGCTCCGGGCGCAGCGTGGAGGCTGGAGTGCGGTCGTAGCCCTCGCCACACGTAGCCTTCGCCCCGGGGACGCGGGCAGCGGCGGGCGCAGGCGGGAAAAGGAAGGAAGGTTGCGCGCAACTTTCTGCGAATCTCGCGAGGTCTCGAGGTGCCGGACTTGGCCGCTTTTGTATCTCGACACCTCGAGAGAAGAAGGGCCCGAGCTATTTTTCTTTTGGGGTTGGTGACGGAGTTGTCGTAAGATTCTTTTGGCGGGCAAGTGCCGGACGCTTGCGACAGTACCCGGGTACGAGCCATGGCAATGCCTGTTACGAGCATCGCCGCAGTCACCAAAGAGCTCACTGCCAGGGGTGGCAGTGGTGCATCCGCGACCCTCGCCTCTCCCAGCGTCGTGCTTCTGCTCACCGACGACCAAGACGTGCTCCTCTCTGACGCAGCGCGCTGGCAACCCGTGCTGCATCGCCGGGTCGTGCAAGCCGGCGCCACCTTTGCTCGCGCATTTGCCAACAGTCCAGTTTGCTGCCCGTCGCGCTCCTCCTTGCTCACCGGCAAGTACACGCACAACCACGGCGCACTAAACAACTCGCTCCAAGGGAGCTGCGCCTCACCCCAGTGGTCAACGGAGATGGAGCCAGACGCTCTCGCCGTGCACATGCAGAAGGCAGGCTACCGGACAATGTACGCCGGCAAGTACCTCAACAACTACGGGTTGAGTGGATCGCTGGGTCTCAAGTACGTGCCTCCGGGTTGGAGCGAGTGGTGTGGCCTGCAAGGCAACAGCCGCTACTACAACTACACCCTCTCTGTGAACGGCAGGGAAGAGCGCCACGGCTGCAACGCATCCGACTATCTGACCGACGTGCTGGCAGAGCGGGCGGTCGCCTTCGTCCAGCGGACCTCGTCACCGCTCTTTTTGTGGATCGGCACGCCGGCCGCCCACGCCTCCTTCACGCCGGCGCCTCCCTTTGTCGACACCGCGCGCGGCGAGCTGGCCCCGCGCACGCCCAACTGGAATGTGGTTGGCAACCGTGGGCACCATCAGACGGTCCGCGAGCTCTCGCCAATGTCTGCGAACGAGGCGAAGGAGTCGGACGAGATCTACCGCCGGCGGCTCGGCACGCTGAGGAGCGTCGACCGGTTGGTCGAGAGCGTGTTTTCCGCGCTCGACGCGACGGGGCGTGCGGACGCGACGTACTTCTTCTACACTTCCGACCACGGCTTCCACCTCGGCCAGAATGGCATGGCGTACGACAAAAGGCAACTGTTCGAGACGGACGTGCGCGTGCCGCTCTTCGTGAGCGGACCGGGGGTCCCCGCAGGCGCGACTCTGCACCAGCCCGTCTCCCACGTTGATCTCGCGCCGACCATCCTCGCGCTCGCGACCGGCGGCGCGTTGACGCCCGACGGGTGGGACGGCACCTCTTACCACTCAGCCTTGCTCGGCGCGGCGGGCGGCGGGCGAAAAGACGTGCTCCTGCAGTATTATGGCGAGGGCAGGCAAACCGAGACGTGCGGTGCGCACCGGCTGGCGTACCACACTTTGGCAGACGGCACCGTCGTCGCGTGGGACGTGGGCGAGTACGAGCCCGCGCCGTGCGACGGCGAGAACAACACTTGGGCGTGCGTGCGCCGCGTCGTCCCGTCCGCGGCGCCCGGGGAAGTGCTGGCGGTCGACGACGTGTGGTGCGAGTTCGCTTGCTTCGTGGCCGGCCCCGGCTCAGCGCCTGTGCCGTGCCCCGCCGACGAGCCGGAGGGGTACGGCGCCTATTACGACCTGAAGGTCGATCCGTGGCAGGTGCATAACCGGGCGCGCGTGCTGCCGCATGGCGAGCGCGACGCTCTGCGCAAGCGGCTGCATGAGCTTCGCGCATGCCAAGGCCAGGCGGGATGCGCGTGAGCCACGGCTGAGGGCTGAGGTGAGTGCTCGTGTCTGCAGTAAATCTGTTCAATACAACTCCCAGATCCGAATCTCTCATATATCAGACGGAAAAGGACGCGAAAGTACCTCGAAGTACGACGACCCCTCTCTCGACCTGAGCCGGGTGTCCTGAGACTCCTCTCTCTCCTGTGTCCTCTCCCCGTACAGCCGTACTCCGACCCCGCATCACACCGGACGGGCACTCTGTGTCTGTGATGCGCCCCGGAGAGACGACAGAGAGAGAGCGCAGGTGGTGAGGGAGCGACGAGAGGGAGGGAGCGGGGCTACACCCGGAGCCAGTAGCGCTCAAAAGTGCCGGAGACCAAGATATACCGTAGGAAAAAAGTTACACAACACACACACACACCCCACTCACCAGGTTCTCAACAGTCACATGTCATGAAGAGTCCCTCCCCTTGTTCCAGAGGACCTTCCGCCGACTGTGCTCCGTGGCACCCGCGGTCCTGGTGCAGTCTCCACTCAAGTCTCAACTTTCAGACTCAGCGCGTCAGCATGCTCACGCGGTACTCGAACGAGATGCGCGGCTCGGCATTCGCGGGGGCGGTGGGGTCGCAGAATGCCGTGTGGAAGGTTGGCATCACCGGTGGCGCTGAGTCGCCCTTGGCCCGCTCAAACTGACGGAAGACGAGGACCTCGTCGGTCTCCATCGCGGGATAGTAGAACCAGCGTTGCCTCGGGTTGTACTTCAGGCCGGTGATCTGTAGAGACCCGGGCTCGTCCGGCGCAATTTGGAGCTCGACAAAGTCCTCGGGCGCAATGCTGGACGCGTCGCAGAGGCACAGGGGCATGGCTTGCACCTTCTTGCAGGGAGCAATCGGCCGCCAGAGATTGCAGAGCAGGAGCGACTTGTAGCCGTCCGGCCCTTGCAGCTGCTCGCGCTGCTGACGCATCCGCGGCGCCAGCCGGGACGCCTTCTCGCACGCCTGGTCAACGTCGAGCGGAAGGTCGTTGTGGACGAGAGAGACCGCGCCCTTGCCCGAGAATCGGCCCATGGTGCTCTCGCGGCGGACTCCTTGCGACGGCAGCTCGAGCGATGCGGCGCCCGGGATCACCGACTTGAGGATGCTCTCGGCCTCCTTGGACCAGATGCGACGGGCCGGCGTGTCGGACGACATGTACCGCTCGTCGCGCACCGCCACGTCGGCGTCGAAAAAGGACTCGATGTTCTCGACGGAGGCGAGCCAGTCCTCCTCTGTCATGGCGGTCTGGTGCTTGAGCAGGATGAAGCCGTGCTTGGCGAAGAAGTCGGGGGCGCTCATGCCCTGCTCTTCCATCTCCTGGCGCTGCAGCTGGCGCGCGTCGCCCACCCTGAGCCTGGTCTTGGCGTACCCCTGTCGAATCGTCCGGAAGGTCTCGATGACGTGCCCATTACCAAGGAAGCGCAGGAAATCCCTGACCTTCCAGGTCGTGAGCCAGCGCGAGTCCTGAATCACATGGCTGGCACTTGTCGCCGGGTAGAACCCAGAGAGCTCCGCCGTGACGACGCTCGTCTCTGTGAGTGCTGCGCTGGTCCCCACGCTGTTGAGCTCGGCTTTTGTCAGGTCCTTCGCTGACGCCTTTGTCGCCGCGGCAGTCCAGTGCTCGCTCGACCGGGAGTCGCGGATGCGACGTGGTGATGAGAGCAGGGACCACAGCCGCTTCAGCAACGGGATGCTGAGCAGCAGGGTCGACGCCAGCAGCGTGCGCTGCGAGCGGAGGACGAAGGAGGAGAGCACGGAGGACATCGAAAAAGCGACGCGTCCCGACTTCAGCTGTGGTTTCGTCGATAAGGTCAAGGACGGAGATCGATGAGACGCGAGATCAATGAGACGCTCCCGCCACGGACAAATTCTTCCTTTTCGTTTAGCGACACGACAAGAAAAGGAGTTGCCCTTATCTACATGTAAGATATGGGGGTCCTCATGCCAGCTGCTCACGCCCGGGTATTCTCTTCATGTATGTATACACATCTGACATCTCTCCAATTCCCTCTAGCTCTAATATTCTCTTCATGTGGGTATACACATCTGACATCTCTCCAATTCCCTCTAGCTCTAATATTCTCTTCATGTGTGTAAACACATCTGACATCTCTCCAATTCCCTCTAGCTCTAATATAAAACAAAAGAGTAAAAATAAATAAAGAAAACGAACTTAATCTTGATGCTCTTTAGCGGCCGCGGACTCGGCTCAGCATGATGTCTCCTGATTTCCCGCCGCCCTCGCCGCCGCCTCCGCCGCCGGACCCGGCGACTCCTGGCTGGTACTACCCGCTGATATTGCTGCTTGTCTGCTCTTCGGCGATGTTCTCGGGTCTGACGCTCGGGTGACGCCGCCGACCGCCCGCGTCGCCCGCGCCCGCTCCTCGGCCGCGCGGCGCCAGACGCGCCACCACCCTGCCCTGCCATTCGGCGCAGGCTCATGTCCCTGGATGAGTCGCAGCTGCTGCTCATCGTCGCCGGCGACGACCCGCGAGCGCGCATGCACGCCGAGCGGATCCTGCCCATCCGGCGGCGCGGGAACCTGCTGCTCTGCACGCTGCTGCTGGGGAACACGCTGGGCAACTCGATGCTCGCCATCCTGATGGCCGACGTCTCGTGGCTCTCCGGCGTGGGCGGCGTCGTCGGCTCCACCGCCGTGATCCTCGTCTTTGGCGAGATCATCCCGCAGGCGTACTGCAGCACGGCTCGAGATGACACGAGATGACACGAGATTACACGAGACCATCCCGCAGGCGTACTGCAGCCGGCACGGGCTCGCGGTCGGGGCGCACGCGTCCGAGCTCGTCAAGCTCGTCATCCTGCTGCTCGGCATCGCCGCCTGGCCCATGTCCAAGCTACTCGACTGCGTCCTCGGCGCAGAGCTCGGCGTGCAGTACTCTCGCCGCGAGCTCAAGCAGCTCTTCACGATGCAGGAGGGCGCAGGGCGGAGCAGCAGTGAACCAGCGGCGCGCCCCTCTCCTCAAGCAGCCCTTCTCCGTGCAGGCGGCGCAGGCGGAGGAGCAGGCCTCCACGGCGCCAACCACGCCGAGCGCGCCCGGCGTCGGTTCTCCGCAGGGCGGCGGGAGGGAGGTGGGGTCGGAGGGGTGAGGTGCGGGACACGTCCCCTGGCCGAGCCGTAGGAGCCCAGCAGTCGACCGTCTCGCAGCTCTCGGCGGGGCACGGCGCCATCCACACGAATGAGTTGTCGTGGCTCTGCGGTGCCTCCACGCCCCCTCCCCCACCCCACCCCCACGCCCTCCCCCACGCCCTCCCCACGCCCTCCCCACGCCCTCCCCACGCCCTCCCCACGCCCTCCCCACGCCCTCCCCAGGGCCGCTCTCCCCCTCCCAAGGCGCCCTCTCCCTCCCGGGGAGGACCCGATACGACACGTCCACGACACGTCCACGACACGTCCACGACACGTCCACGACACGTCCACGACACGCCCACGACACGCCCACGACACGTCCACGACACGTCCACGACACGCCCACGACACGCCCACGACACGCCCACGACACGTCCACGACTCAGGCGCCCTCTCCCTGTCGGAGCGGACCGCCGACCAAATCATGACGCCGATGCAGCACGTCTTCCGCATACACGAAGACGACGTGCTCGACTTTCGGCTGATGCGCCGCATCGCAGACTCGGGACACTCGCGCATCCCCGTCATGCGGGCACCAGCCACCGCGCCGCCCGCCGCTGAGTTGGACGCGCACGCCGCCGAGTTGGACGCGCACGCCGCGCCCGCCGCCGCGCCCGCGCAGCCTTCCTTGGGCGCGGGATCAGACGCAGAGGGCGGCGCCGAGGGCGGCGCAAAGGGCGGCGAAGAAGCCTCTGATTGCGGGGCGGGCGCGGCGGCGGGCGCGTGGCCGAGCACAGCGAGGAGCGACGAGTTGGTCGGCCTCTTGTCCGCCAAGGATCTGATCCTGATCGACCCGGAGGATGGCGTGCCGATCGGCACAGATGCCTCGGGCTGCTGCGTCGTCGTGTCCGCGACACGTCCGCGACACGTCCGCGACATGCCCGCGTCAGGGACGATGCTCGAGTACTGCGGCCGCGCGGTGGTGACGGTCTGGTTCGACACGCCCGTCGCTCAGCTCTTCCGCGACTTCAAGCGCGAGATTGCCCGAGATGGCGCGAGATGGCGCGAGGTGACCCGAGATCAGCTCTTCCGCGACTTCAATCGCGGCCAGCCGCACCTCGCGGTGGTGCAGGACCCTTCCCTGACCCTTCCCGGGCCCTTCCCGCAGGCGCGGCCAGTCGCACCTCGCGATGGTCCAGCGCGTCAACGACGCGGACGAGTCCCGCGACCCCTTCTACGAGATCGTCGGCGAGACATGGCCGAGAGAGAGCCGAGGTTGTAGCCGCGTCGACGACACGTCCACGGCGTAGGCATCGCCACGCTGGAGGACGTGCTCGAGGATCTATTATTATATTATATTATATTATATTATATATTATTAGGCATCGTCACGCTGGAGGACGTGCTCGAGGAGCTGATCGGCGCGTGGGGCGGCGGCGGGGCGGCGCTGGCCGAGTCGACTCACTTCCACGGTCGCTGCTCGCAGGCGCCGAGATCGTCGACGAGAGCGACGTGTACACCGACAACGTGACGCGGGCGCGCCACTCCGTCGAGCGGGGGAGGAGAGGAGGCGCGGCGAGCGGCGCCCTCCCACGCCCTTGCCTGGGCCCTTCAGGCGCTCGTCGAGCCGCGGCGCGAGGAGGTGCGGCGGCGCGGCGCGTGGCAGGAGACTATCTCGACCCCCGAGTTCGACCCTGGCGTGCTGGACACTGCCATGACATGCCGCTGGGCATGTCTCGTGTAGGACATGCTCGACCCGACCCACCTTCGCGTCGCGAGGTGTCTCTCTCTCCCTTTGGCGAGGCAGAGCAGGCCGTTGCCTCTTGCGCACTTGCGAGAGGGCGGCTCGGCTGCATCCTAGGCGCACCGACAGCGAGATCCACCTCACACGTCCATGACATGTCCGAGACATGTCCGAGACATGTCCATAGGCTCACCGACAGCGAGATCGAGGCGGTCTCTCTCTTCCTCGCCGCCTCCGTGCCGCTGCTCGCCGCCCTGCCGCCGCACCACCTGCACGCGATGCTGCGCGCCTCCTCCGTCCTCATCCTCGAGCCCGAGGGGCCGCCGCTCTACGAACGGGGAGAGCCTTGCGCCGGCTGCACGGTCGTGCTGCAGGGCCGGCTCAGCACGCGCGTGGCTTGCGGCGCACACTCGCTTGTGCGGGAGGGGGCGGGGGCAGAGCGGCACTGTGTGACGGGGCGCCTCGTCCCGCTCCGTAGGCTCTGAGACCTTCGAGGGGGAGCGAGGGCCGTGGTCGATCCTGGGCGCGCAGGCGCTGGCGCAGGAGGCGCGCCGTCGGAGCCTCACCCCCTCCCGTCCCCCCTCCCGGCATCCACCCGTCACCCGCCCGCCCGCCTCTCGCGCCGCCGCAGGTCTACGTCGCCGACTTCGCAGTCGACGTGCTCGAGCCGACTCGCGTGCTGCAGCTCGCGCGAGAGACGTACGAGGTCGTCTGCAAGGCGGCGAGGCAGGAGGCCGAGGCAACGCACTCTCTGGCGCGGGCGGCGGCGCCGCCGTCGCCCTCCGCAGCCGCTGCGACGGCGTGGGTCGACGAGGCGGCGGCGGGGCGGGACGCGGGGCAGGACGCGGGGCAGGACGCGGGCGGGCGGAGCGCCTTGACTCCCTCGGCGGGCGGCCCTTCGCTGCAGCCAAACCCGTTCTTCTCTGGCTCGAGCAGCAGCGAGCTCGCCCGACCTCCGGCTGGCGGCATCGCGATTGAGATGATGGGCGCGCTTCCGCCGGCGAGCGAGGACGCCGCAGTGTGAAGGGGGGTCACGGCCCTGGTCACGGCCAGTACGAGGGGAGGCCGCATCCCCAGTACTACGGTGCGTCAAGAGCCGTTGTACGTAATCCAATGAGGGCTGGTGGCCAGTGTACTTTACGTGTTTTGGGGGTCGAGCCAGAGCTTCTGGGTGTTTGGTATTTGGTAAAACGCCGTAATACCGCATCGATGTGCATTTAAAATCTAATCGTGGTATTACACATAACAAGCGGTCGCGCGCGCAGCCGCCCTTGTACTTTCTTGCAAGCCGCAGTTGATGTAAATTGAATTTGAAAAAATGGACAGGACGTGTGCATGTGTTTGTCGTCGTTTTGGGTGGCACTCGCGACTCGGTGTGGTCGGGTGTGTGCGCACGCGTGCGGTGTACACTCTCCAGCACGAAGAGCGCTCTTGCGGCCCGCGTCTCTCGCCGAGGCTCTCACTTGCGCAAGAGCCGGCGCAGCGCCTCACGCGGTGCCTTGAGGGGCTGCACGCCGGGCAGAAACCGCGCCTTGAGCGAGAGAGCGAGCGCGACCGCGCCGGCCTGCTTGATCCGCCGCAGGAGCGGCCTCGGCTCGGCTCCGCCCTTGCCCATGGCTCGCTGCGCGTGCCGGTCGACCCACGAGGTGGACTGGCGCAGCGCCTGCTGGATGAGCTTGTCCCGCGCGAAGCCGGGCACCCAGCTCGGCAGCTGCGAGTCCGCGGAGTAGTAGACGCGGCTCCACCCGTCCTCGACCCTCTCGACGTACCTGCAGCAGCAGGAGCCACAGCGGCGAGGTGGGCGGGCGGGCGGTCGGGGGGCGGGATCGAGAGAGCTGCGGGCGGGCTGTGGCGCGCGCCAGTAGCCGACGGTGTCCGAGAACTCGGAGAGCCGCTCGTAGTCGAGGTGGAAGGTCATGCAGTTCTTGGACGGCTCGTACGTGTGCTCGATGAAGTACTCCATCGAGAAGGGGCCGGCGCAGATGCGGTACTTTGCCCAGACCTGCTGCTTGCCGCTGAGGGACCGCTTCTTCCGGTAGACGGCGCACCTGCCGCGGGCGAGTCGTCGTGCAGAGCGCCGGCCGTGCCGTGGGCTGGTGCGCTGCGGCTCACTTGGTGCAGCCCTCAACCATCTTTGGGTAGTTGTCGAGGTCCATGATGCGACCCCACACCACGTCGGGTGGCGCCGGTACATCCTGGATCGACACGGCCCGCTTGAAGCCCGATTTGAGCGACAGGACCTTGAGAACCGGCTTGCCAGACCGAAGGCGCTCGACGGGAATGCCGTCGACCGAGATGCCGTACTTTTTGGGCGGCTGCCGCTCGTACTTTTGCAAGATGCCCTGGTGCGGGTGCGGCTTCGACGCGTCGGCGCCGCGGGCGTCTGCTCCGCAGACGTACAGCACGAGGAAGCAGACAGCCGCGCGAGCTGCCATTTTAGCTTCGTCAAGAAAAAGAATTTTGCCATGATTTTCACAAGTGGGTGAGGTACCAAATCCCAGCGAGCAGCGCGAAGCCGAGCCACGTCTTGAGGAAGCCGCCCATGCCAACGTGTCGCCCACAGAAGAAGACGTGCGCGGCGAGCTCCACTTTGTTGTGGCAGGCGCAGCCGCCCGCCTGGAAGGCTCGGGCGCATCAGCTGAGGGCGCACATAAAACAGGGCGTGTGCGCGCGCGAGGGCGGGCGGCGTGCTCACGTTCGAAAGGTCGAGCGCACGCGCTGTATGCGAGTGGCAGTCCGAGCCGCAGACCATGCAGTGGATCTTGTGGCGGTACTCCTCGTCCGCCTGCGCGACCGCCTCGTCCCATTTCTCGAGGCTCTGCGGCGAGTAGCTGATGTATCGGGCCGGAGCTCCAAACAGCATCTGGTCTGGCGGACACGGATGAATCGGGCCGCCGCCCCAGTCGTGCAGCCTGCGTTTGGTCGCAGGCGTCAAACGTGATTCGAGAGACGGCAGAGGGCGTCGGGTGATGCGTGCCTGCCGGCCGAGTCGGTGATGCCCATGTGGCCCACAAAGGGGACGCAGCACGTGAGCGGCTGAATGGGCGTCCAGAGCACGGAACACGGCGGCCCCAGCCCTTCACCGCGGTCGCCCTTTAGGCTGGTCGACGGCGCCTCCTCGTCGGAGGGAGGGAGGGACATCGCGGTCCGGGGACCGTGTTACAGACCGGGCAGGCGGGTGAATCCTCCGCGAGACGAAGTCGGCCGCCCAGCCGGAAGAAGAAAAACGAAAAAAAAGAAAACCGGTGCTAGATGAAAAAAGAGAGATACCCATAGAGGAGCAATTCCCGGATCGACTCCGAGGGAGATGGAGTGAGGGAGATGGAGGGAGGGAAGGAGGGAGGGAAGGAGGGAGGGAGGGAGGGAGGGAGAGAGAGAGAGAGAGAGAGAGAGAGAGAGAGAGAGAGAGAGAGAGAGAGAGAGAGAGAGAGAGAAGGAGCGTCTCCGGTCGCATGGCGCGCCCGGGGCGCGCGAACCTGTCTGTGTCTCGCAGAGTCGCAGTCTGAACCCGGCGACCTCGCAGCGAACGCATTTTCCTTTTGTTGGTAAGAACCGGCGTCGGAGCGGCTTTGACCCTCGGCGTGTCTTCCCCCGATTCTGCGCAGCGCCATTTGTTGCTATACCATCGCCGTCTCCACCATGCCACGGACGACTTCATTGGGCGGGCGAGTCGCGCGGTCGCGCGTCAGCTCGAGAAACTCGTTGAGCGCCCCAGCCAGTTCGGCCTCGCCCGTCGCAAAGTCCGTGCACAGACTTCTGGAGAGCGGGCCGATGCAGCCGCAGTAGGAGGCGGAGCACTCTGCGTTCACGGTGTCGGGCCCTGCGAGCAGTGGCTGCGGCTCCGACTGGCCAAGCTTGACCACGGCGCGCACCTCGACGTGCCCGCCCTTGGCCGCCGATCGCCTCGCCCAGGCGTCCTGCTTCAGTCTCCGTGGGACAAACTCCGCTGCGCACTGCGTGATTTCAGAGAGCGGCACGTCCGACTCTTGCCGCGCCTGACCAAACATACCGAACGTAGCGCGGGTCATCGTGCCGTTGGCCTTGTCGACGATTAGATCCTCGAACCGGACGTCGTAGATCAGTCCCCGGAGGCCGCTGAGCACGTTGATCAGGGCGAGGAGGAACAGAAAACCGCAGAGCATAAAGTCCCAGTTGAGCTGCGAGCTTCCGAGCCAGGCGGTGATGCCGATGCCAATGCCGACCAGCAACATGATGATGCTGACGATGAGGTCGGAGTAGTACCGTGCACGCACATGTAGCTTCTCGCCGTCTGCGCCCTCTTTCCTTACCCGCAGCGTCGAGCAAAGCACCATGCTCTACCTCGTCGCGGACCGACGAGTTAGGTCGCGCCGATTGCAGGACGGACGCAGGACTCTGTAGAAGAAATCGAGACCGCTAGAAGGAAAAGGAAGCGGTATTGAAAATCACGTCCAATATTTTTCTCGTTTGCCCGCATCCCATTTTGCGTGCATCGCATTACGCCCCAGCTGGCGTGCTACTGCACGACTCACTCGCCATGCTTCTCTGCGCCTCCATCACACTCGGCGTGCTCGTGTCGCCGGACCCGTCGGCGCAGCGCACGCTGACGCGCCGTGCCGCGCTGCTCGCGCCGTTTGCGGCGCCGGCGGCTGCTCGCGCGTACCAGACGCCCGTGCCTGACCAATGGGGCGATCAGCAGGCCATCTCTCTCGCCGAGACTCGTTCGAACCCCGGCTTGGGCACTCAGCAGCAGGCGGCGTTCTACGCCATCACACAGGGCGATCTTGCGACGCTGCAGCGCATGATCGATTCCGGGTGGGACCTCAAGAATGCAAAGGACTCGTCTGGCAAGACGGCGCTGCATAGAGCGGCGCAGCTTGGGAACCAGCTGGCTATCGAGAAGATCCTCAAGGCGGGAGTGCCGATCGATCCTACCAATGCTTGGGAGGAGACGCCGCTGCACCTCGCCACGCGCAACGGCAAGACCGCAGCGGTGAAGCAGCTCGTTGAGGCAGGCGCGAGCACTTCGCGCAAGACCTTTGGCGGTGACACGCCGCTTGCGCTGGCGACGAAGTACCGGAAGGCCGATATCGCTGAGTTTTTGTCCTCGAAGTAGCTGCGACCGTGTCCTCAAGCAGCGTCGCGTGGAGGCAAGGCGTGGGACGAGGCAGGTTTGGTCCTCGTACACGCATCTCGTATGAGGTATGTCCGCCGGTGCCCTGGACCCGCTGCCGGTGTCGTCACACACCACGTGTATGTCCTCGCAGTGCCCGCCCCGGCCCGTGCCTTGGTTTTTGACATGCTTACTACTACAGTCACACAGCCTCGCGCGGACGCTTGGCCCCACGAGTGACGACGGCGGCGCTGGACGAGGCGGCCGGCCGACCCGGAGGCTTCTTGCGCCAGCGCGGCCTTTTCCTGCTCCTCCCGCGGACCCTCTCCCTGGGGTCGAGCGAGGCGAGGCTCTCGGCCGCGGGCGTGCACCGCGCGAGCGCCGTGCGCACGCTCTCGACGCACGCCTCGTCCACCGCGGCAGCGGCGCCGCTCTGCAGGAAGAAGAGCGCAGTGTCGTACGGCGACTCGCGGAAGGTCCGCGTGCGCGCGTGCTGGCCGCCGTCGACGAAGCCGTGGTCGGCGGCGGCGACGAGCAGCTTGGCGCGCAGGTGGCTGCTCCCGTCGAGGGCGCGGTACCCCTCCGAGTCGAGCCAGCCCGGCAGCACCACAACGAATGTGAGCGGCTCGCAGGCGGCGTGCGCAGCCGCGAGGAGCGAGAGGAGCCGCTCGGCCATGCGGGCGATGAGGCCGTCGACGAAGGGCGGGTTGACCTCGTAGCTCCCCCGCCGCGGCGCGAAGCCGCGGAACGAGCCGCGCGAGCCGAACGGCGCGTCCACGTCGGGGAAGGCGGAGCAGTAGGCGCCGTAGTAGCAGTTGAGCGGAGACGCGAAGCACTCGAAGTTGACGCCGAGGCACCGCTGCAGGGCGGAGAAGGCAGCGCCCCCGAGGGCAGCCTGGAAGCCGAGCCCGCCGATCGAGTGGTACCGGAGCAGCAGCGCAAGCAGCCGCAGCCGAAACGAGCGCTCCTCCCGCTTGGCGTCCGCCGCCGCGCCGGCGCCGCCCTCCTCGCCGCCGCTGCCGCCGCCCGCGCCCCTCCTCGGCGCGCCGTGTCTCGCGTGCAGCTCTCGCAGCTTGTGCAGGTATGGTGCAGTGATCCGGATCCCGTCGAGCAGCCGCGCCGTCGCTTCGTCCTCCGAGGCATCGCCGCCTCCGCCACCGCCGCCCTCGCCGCCCCCTTCGCCACTGGGAGGCAGAGCAAAGCTCGAAGGCACCTCGAGACGCGTCGCGCCATCCTCCTCGCGCTTCAGGCGGACGCGCAGCCTCCCGCCCTCCGCCGCAGTGGAGCGGAAGTTGTCCACCCTCGTCGCCGCTCGCGCAGAGGCCGACCGCACCGCCTGCACGACCGCCGCGCTCGCGGCGGGCGCCATGCCTGCGCGCCGCAGGTCGGCCCGCATCGACTCGTCGGCGGAGCGCGGACGTTCGTCGGCGCACCTCGCGTGGTCGCTGGGCGCTGGCGGCCCTTCGGCGGCCACGGGCAAGAGCGGGTCCCCTTGCACCGCCTCCTCCTCCTCCTCCCATTTGCTCTGAAAGCGCCACCGCTCGAATGCATTCATCGGCGGTGCGGCGACTCCGTTCTCGTGGCAGAGCGCGTGAAAGCGGCGGCGGAGCGCGGCCAGCTCGGACGCACGCTTGAGCTCCACGACGGCTGCGTCGTGCGGCGAGAGCAACGAGTGCCTCTTGACCGGCTCTGCGTCGGCTGGCTTCCACGGGACGGAGCTTGGCATCCAGACGTCGTCCAGCGACGCAGTGCCCGCCAGCTCGCGTCCCAGGCCGGTCGCGGGCGCCTTTGTCGTGGCGTGCAGGGTGTGACTCGTGCGGCGGTGCGACGTGCTCGCGCCCGCGGCGCTCGAGGCAGCTGCCATCGCAAAAAAAGAAGTTAAAATCGCCTGTCACAGGACACTGGCACGACACTCCTCTCCTTAAAATCCCTGTGTGGTGGCGGCGTGCCGTTCTCCCATCCCTCCCTTGGGTTGTGTGTTTTCTTTCTTTCTTTCTTTGGCACGACAAGGGCGCGGACTGGCGCGGACTGGCAACACACCGGCTCACCAAAAAAGAAAAAGAAAAAAGTGGCCTAAAAAGAAAGGAAAGGCGGTCCTGGCTCCTTGGTTCCGTCCCCTTGGCCGACCACCGACAAGCACTGCACGCTGGACGTCTCTCTCTGTTCACTGACTGTTGTGCACGAGCGAGACCTCGCGCGCGCGTGAACAGGGCTCTGGGCTCTAGGCCTGAAATCATGTTGAGTGTTGAATTCGTTGGTACTGCTCTCTCTCTCTCTCTCTCTCTCTCTCTCTCTTCTGCCGGGTGGCAGCGCGCACACCTGGCACCACTATTCCACGGCTCTCGCCTCTGGAGCGCTCTTTCAATCCTCCCGTGGAGATCCGACACCCTCGCGCTTAGCTCTCCTTTCCCCCTCTTTCGACCGCGTGAACTGCAGCCTTGGTGGGAGGGCGGCGAGCGAGGCGTCGTGCCGGTGCTCGCACGAGGCGCTTACGGGCGGCCTCGCCGGCTGCATCCAGCGCAAGGAGAGAGAGCAGCGGCGCCGCGGGAGGGAGGAGGACGCGCCCGAGTACCCTGAGCTCGAGGGAAACGTAACAGCCATGCTGCGCGCGCAAGTGCAGTGCCGCCGCCACCACCGGGGGAGAAGCTCTCGCCTGGCCCCGCAAGACAGAAGCGGCGTGGCGCGTTTCCTCCTCGCCGCGAAACTCGGAGCGGGCCACTAGACAAGAAAGGGGCGGCGGAGAACCTGCAGATCTTGTCATCGGTGGTGTCGACGAGTTAGTTAGTTACTTAGGAAGGTGACGAACAGCCTATGTGAAGAACACAGCCTGGCTCGCCTCCGCGCCGCAGAATTCTTATAGCAACAACCTCCCGGCCTCGTGAAAGTGTAGGTGCGTGGATGAGGCTCGCTCTGATCCTCGCCCTCCTCCCAGCCAGCACGGACGCCTTGCTCCCGATCAGCGCAGGCCGCCGTGCGGTGCTGCGGGAGACAGCTGCTGCGCTAGCAGTGGCCGCCGCGGTGCCTCCTGCAGTGGCCGCAGCTGACGTCGGCGCTACACAGCCGATGGAGTCGGTGGATGTGAGCGCGTACCAAAAGATCGCGGGCGGTGGCCGATATGCCGATTTGTTGGTGGGTAAGGGGACGGAGGTCAACGCCGGCTCCAAGGTCTCGCTGCAGTGGGTCCTGCGCCGATCGAATGGGTACTACGTCGACGGCAGCATCAAGATGCTCTCAGCGCAGTCGGGTGCCGTTCGGGTCAGCGACAATTTCGACGAGAAGGATAGCTTTGTGTTCACTGTCGGCGACGGCGCGGCCATGCCAGGCGTCAACGAGGGCATTAAAGGGATGCGGCAGGGCGGCAAGCGCCGCCTCGTCCTCCCAGTCAAGCAGGCGTATACGCTGCCGATCGACAGGAGCCCTGGTCCGCTGCCGGACGGCTACGGCCCACGGCGGCAGATAGAGCGCGAGCTGCAGCGACAGGATCCATACAACTATTTCTATCTCGAGGTCGAGGCCACGCGCGTGCGGTAGCGAACTTTTGTTCCGTGTTCGGCACTCCCTAGGACCATTCCATATTTCTGTGCAGGGCTGCAGCTTGGCTGATCTGACATCTGTGTGCGGCAACCTGGTTGACACTTATGTATTAGAGTCTCGTCAAAAAATAACCTGAAAAATAACTAAGAAAAATACTACGAAAAAAGCCTACGAGTAGCTCGTACCGCGGCTGTGCCTCTCTGGGCATGTTAGCGCGCGACAGCTGAGTCCGCTGTCCGGCAGGGGCGTGACTTCATCAGTTTTGTCTTCATGCGCTTTCGTGCAGGCGGGGCGCAACGGGCATGCAGCGGTGGAGGAGCTCCTCCCCCCTAGACCGCCTCCTCCTTCTTCTGCGGCGGCCCGACTGGCGGCGTCGTCAGCACCTTTGCGAGCTGGCGAGGCCGGAAGACCAGCGGGAGGACGAGCGCCGCCTTCGCGTCGCTCGCATCGCTCCGCCGCGGATAGAGCGGCTGGAGCGGCGGGTTGATCCGCCAGATGGTCCAGGTGAGGACCGACGCGATCGAGATCCACACCGCCGACGGGGCGAGGATCAGGCCGGCCGCGGGCGCGACATCATAAAAGGCCTTGACTGCCGCGACGACCGAAGTCCAAACGGCGAGGACGCCGACGGCCGACACACCCTTGCGCTGCTCAACGTTGGTGACGCAGTTCCACGTGTCTCCGACGCACAGGTGGAGGGCGAGGACGAGCAGCGCCGGAGAGCAGAGCACGCGGCCGGTCGCCTTGAAGACGACAAGCGAGGAGGCGGCTCGCAGCGCAGTGATGGTCAGCCAGATGAAGGGGAAGGCGATCCCGGGCGGCGTCCACGAGGGTCGGATCGTCTCGGCCGGGGTGGCCGTGCGCTTCCCTTCGACGTCGAACCCGCCGCGTGGCGGCCGGTTCGCCGGCAGCAGCGAGAAGATGCGGGAGCGCAGCGAGAGAAGTGCAAAGAGCGGCGGGACCAGTGGCGCCGGGGTTGTTCCAACAGCATCGATCGCGCGGAACAAGGCGGCGATGAGACCGAACTGACAGGCTGTTGCCACCGGGTACTTTGCAGCCTGCATAACGTCGACGCCATTGTCCGCTGGCGCTGCGACCGCCTGAGGGCGAGCCAGCCGATTCGCACCAGAGTGGCCGCCGCCAAGCCGCACGCGCGCAGCACCAGGATGGGCAAACCCGCAGGCGCCGCCGAGCAGCGTGGCCAGGGAGAGATACAAGTGTGTCGGCTTCATGTGGAAAGATGGAAAGAAGCACGAGCACAGAAAGGCAAAAAGAGACACCGCGCAAGACGGCTAGCGCATCACACCCTCCTCTCCTTAAAATCCCTGTGTGGTGGCGGCGTGCCGTTCTCCCATCCCTCCCTTGGGTTGTGTGTTTTCTTTCTTTCTTTCTTTACACCGCGCAAGCACATGTAGAAAAAGAACGCTCTCTCACATGACAAGCAATCCCACGACAGCGATTGTGGGGGGAGTAAATGATCCGTAACTGAACGATTAGGCAGAGCTACATGCAGGCGGCGGAAACTTGCAGGAAGAAACCTTTCGCCTTGAGTTTGAGTAAAAAAGAAAGAGAAGCCCCCCGCCGCCTTTCAGCACGGCGGCGCAGACTGTGCATCTCTGTGGCATGGACGTGCATCTGTGGCAGGAGGGTCTGGAGGAAATCTCCGACGCGTCTCTCGCCGCCGCGGCCGCCGCCTTCATCGTCCTTCTTGCCGCCGTGCTTCGAGTGCTCCCGGTATCATCGACACCGCCAAAGGCGGCGGCGGCGGCACACGCAGCGGTCGACACCGATTCGGTGGACACCGATTCGTCTGTCTGGGACGCGACCGATCCGGATCATCCAGGCTCCGCATCGCTTCTCGGCACTGAGAGTAGGGAGTGGTGGAATGTGCCGCCTGTCAGTGCGGCTGAGGCCCTGGTCATCGGAGGGGCGATCCCGCTGCTTCACGCCAGTGCGCCGGCGGGCATGCTCGGGCGGGCGCACTCCGCCGGCGCGGCGGCTCTCAAGATGGAATTGCTTCGGAAGCTGCGGACGCTGTCTGCTCGACACCAGACGTCGGAGCATTTGGCAGCGCTGATCAACTCGGCGAGCGATTGGAAGCGCCGCCACTGCGCCGCCCCGCCGTGCGCGCCGCTCGCCTCTGCGTCCGATCTCGACGAGGGCGAGTGGGCGACCCGCTTCCTCGTGCTCGGCATTCGGTGCGGCACTTCCCGCGGCGGCCACCACGTCAAGATCGAGAGGACGGGCGCGCACGACATGGCGGCCCTCGTGCGGGAGCCGGACGGCGAGGCAAAGCTCCGCGCCTTCTACACGGTCGTGCTCGCGCCGCCTACCGCTCACTCCCCTCTCCTGCCCCCTCCATCCCGCCAGCCTCGCCGCTGACCCCCGCCGCCGCTCACCCGCGGACAACTCCTCCCCCACGAAGGCGCTGCTCGAGGAGCAGAGCGCGGCCCTCAACGAGGAGAGCGCCTCGAGCGGCAGGCTCCTCCGCACGTACGAAGTCTTTGACATGGCCGGCCTGCGCGCGAGGCGCGTCCGGCTACCCCGAGCCCGAACTCGAACGCCCACCCCCTGGAGCCCGAGCCCTAACGCCCTAGGCACGTCCTGCAGCTGGCAGCCCTCCGCTTCACCCGCATGAAGCTTCACGAGGTGGCGCCCGTGAACTACCGGATGCACCAAGCGCGGCGACAACAACAAGCTGCCCAAATGGGCCGACGTACCCCATCCGCTCCATGCTCGAGCTGCTCCGGATGCACGCCCACCTTTACTACGACGTTTCCGTGTGCGAGTCGTGGGTGGGCGTCATCTGGGACTACATCATGCGCGACGACGTCGGGCCGTACAACCGCGTCAAGCGGCCGATGCCAAAGGAGGAGTGATTGGGGTGAGCCCTCCGCCCGCCGCAGCAGCGCCGCGCGTGACGGCTTGCCACCGAGCAGCAGCGTCCAGTATGAGCTCAGCGCGTCCTGCGCGAGAGCCAGGGTGTACTAGCCGGGACTCGTACCTCCCACCCCCTCTTGAGTCCGCGTTCGAGGAGTGTCCCCGTCGGGGTTGTACGGTGGGTCCGAAGCCTAGCCAACTTCGACGCTACCTTCTCTGTGTAGTCCATTAAATGTGTGCAGAGTTGAGAGGCTGCAGGCAGCCGGCGCTGCAGCGCCCGGGGCGCGGGCGGCCGGCGCCTGTGAGCGACCCCAGACCCTCCGGGGCAGTCGCAGCGGGCAGGCGCCTGCCTCCGCGTGTCAGGCCGCAGCGCGCCGGGCCTCCGCGCCCGCACCCCGCCCGCGCACGCCGCACCACTCCCTTTCCTTTTTTATTTCCGAATAATTTCCCGCTCTCCCACCCCTGTGGGCTGTGGCTGTGCTGCGGGTCTTCAGTGTTAGTAGTAGACCGGAGGGCTACGACGCCTTCACACACACACGACTCCAAACGTCTCCACAAGCACCAAGCTCCAAGCAAGCGCTCCAGGTGCTGCCCTCCGCCTCAGCGCTCAGGGCGCGAGGCCATACACACTTGATTAACCTCACATCCAGGGCCGGGGAGCAGCTAAGAATTTTACAACAAAACTCCCTGCAGCTAAGAAGCGCACACAGGAAAAAATAAAAAGGTAGGCGCAGGAAGGCCCCTCCAGGCCTCCCTCTCCCACACGTCACACGAGTTTGTAAAGGAGACTAAGGAGACTGCAGACGAGGCAGGAGTTCTCAGCAGTTTTTTTTTCGACTTGTCACTTGAAGCACTTGGTCCTGAAGACTTTTCGAAGCGATCTGTGCTCCGTTTTGTTTTTTTGCTACTTGGACGGGTTCAAACATCAAAGGAGTCTGGAGTCGCAATGAGCATTCAGCAACCTCACATGAGCTATTCATGGACATGAAGGTGACACGCACCCAGTTCAAGGCAAACGCAGAAAGAAAGAAAGAAAGAAAACAGACAACCCAAGGGAGGGATGGGAGGACGGCACGCCGCCACCACACAGGGATTTTAAGGAGAGGTGTGTGGTGCGCTAGCCGTCGCCCACCCTAGGGAGTCTGCCTCTTCCTATCTCTCTTCGCAGTCTCTCGCCGCTTCTCGCTGCAATCTTCACATGCCACCTCGCGGTCGTCCCACTCTCGTCGTTCTCTCCCTTGTCATTTCCTCCTCTAGAAAGAAAGAAAACCGCGTCCATTGTTCTTCTTTCCCTGATCAAAAATCCCGACCGAGCGGGGCATATCGTGTAATGCGCTCCTGCTCCCGCTCCCATTGGAGTGAGCCAGGCGAGCAAGGGACGATTTCCGCCGTGATGGTCGTCGGAGCTCTCTTCCTCCTCGCTGGCTTCATTCTGCACTTCCCCACAGAATCAGGTACAGAAACGGAGCCTCCGGCTCGACAATGCGCAGAAATTTCAGTCATTGAGGGCAGTGCACGGTCGCTCACACTGGTCTATCCAAATGACACATTTTGGAAGCTGCTGTCCGAAGGAATGTTCACGCCGGACGAAAACAAGACCTGCTTTTGGCGTGAGAGGCACGCCCTATATGGGATTGGAGGGCCGTCGGCGAGAGTGCATGCCGACGTGCGAGGCGTACAGATCACGCCAGGCAAGTTCCTCTCGGATGTTCTGGGCTACTATTTCGTCCTCCTGGTCAGTGACGATGAACCTGCCGGTGTTTTGAGTTTTGTCGACCAGAACTCTCTCGGCAGCGCTGCCTCGCATGTTGGACTCGGCAGTGTTTGCATCTTGCACGCCTTCCGCGGGAGGGGCTGTGGCACTCTTCTTCTTTCTGAGGCGCTGCGGCTGCCCAAATTGCGACAGATGCGCGCTACTCCTCTCACAGCCACCGATCGCCTGGCATTTTACACGACCCGTCGCAGCGCAACTCAGCCCTTCCTGCGCCCCGTTGTGCTGGACGTGGTCAAGGCCAACCGGACGCGCTGGCGCGAGCTCTACTCTTGGTACCAGCGCTTCGGCTTTGAGAGCCTTGAGAATGTGAGCAGCACTGGCTTCGAGCGGTTGTACATGGCGCTGAAGGCTGAACCAACGAATTATGGATATGTGGACCATAGTGACCATATTCACAAACCAGAGGCAAGCGTACTTTGACCGCCACTCCGGACCCGTCAGCTTGGACACCTCGGGGTGCGCCTTCATGATCGCCTTGCGGCGCGCGGCATGCGGCTGGTGGTTGTCGTCCCAGAAAAGCTCGTTTTTTTTCACCGCCGCGGTCGACGAGCCGCCCTTGCCCATGCGGCGGCACAGAGTGAAACGGCGCAAGGGGATCGGGGCTTGCCAAGGACGACTGGCGCTGTCGAAGGGCTGGAAGTCCGTGTCCATCTCGTTCCTATACACGTCCGTGTCAGACATCTCCCACTTTCCACGAGCGCGGAATAGCACCTCAATCAGCCAAAAATGTCTAGAGAGAGCAAGGCACAGAGAAGGTGAGAGGCTGTCTTTCCCTTATGCTTCCCAAGCGTCGTTGGAGGACTGGATGAACCTGCGTGGAGCGGCTGCGGGTGTGTTGGAGCGCTCTTGGAGCTTACGGTATGTGTGTGCGAATCGGCCACCTCCGTCCTGCTAGAGGCCAAGAAGCAGCGTAACGAAAGCATTTCCGAAGGGGAGCGCTGCCCGCAGATGTGGAAGGCGATGTTATTCAATCAATCAAGACAAATCGAGCAATCGACGTTGATCGTTGTGCACATGCCACATGGCACATGCAGAGTAAAATGTGAAATAATGTTTCCTTTCCGACCCTGCACAAAGATCGCGCGGGGACGTGGGTGTGTTTCATTTACTTATTTCCGCGACCGCTACAACGTCTCAACATCTCAGCAGAGCGGTGAAGAATAAAGCGCGGGAGAAAAGAAGTGCGATTCCTGTCGTGGCCTGTGCAAATCCAGCGTTCAAACCAGGTCGCGTAACCGTCGAAACTTGGCTATGAGGACGCATCCGCGCGCTTTCTACGGACGCAGACCGCACCATCTCGCTCCGCGACATGACGATGATGCACTCCACCACCCTCGCGGTCCTTGTTCACGCGACAGCCGTCCAAGCATCCTACTACTCAACCTACGAGTCCTCCTACTACTCGTATGAGTTGCCGGATCCATCGCCTGCCCCTGACCCTGAGCAGTCAATGCCGCCAAACCTCCCGCCACCGCGGCCCTCGCCGTCTTCCTCACCGCCGCCGCCATCTCCGCGCCCGCCGTCACCACCCCGCCCTCTTCAACCCTCTGCTTCGCCTCCACCTTCGTCTCCTCCATCGCCAACGCCTCCGCTCCCCCCACCTCTGACGCTCATGCCACCGCCGCGTCCTGCTCCCAGCCCGCCCCCGTCGCCTCCGCCGACCCCACCTCCACCCCACTCGTCGCCTCCACCGCCCTCGCCTCCGCGCTCTAATCCGAGCCCGCTCCCGTCGCCGACTCCGCCTTCACTCCCTCCTCCCATCGCGCTCTCGTCGCCTCCGCCGCCGCCGTCTCCGCTTCCTCCTCCCAACCCTCGCTCCTCACCACCACCGCCTTTTCCGCGTCCCCCTCCCCGCCCTCGCTCCTCCTCGCCGCCGCCGCCGTCTCCACGTCCTCCTCCGCCCCGTCCCTTTCCTCCGCCGCAAGCGCGATCGCCTCCCTCACAAGCGCCGCCCAGACCAGTGGACCTGCCAAGTGATGAACTTGACTTGGATGACAGCGACGGGTCGGCCGGGGCTGGCGTGGGCGTGCTGGTTGGCGCCGCCCTCGGGGGGACGGCCGCAATCGCGCTCACCGCCGCCGCCGCACTCTGCCTATGTGCGCGGCGCCGCAGCGTCCAAGATCGACCTGCTCTCCGCAAGGTTGGCAAAGACGACGTGTCCGTGGAGACCGACCGCGCGTCAGAGGCGGTGGCTGACATCGACGTGGCCATTCAAGTGCTATAAAGCGAGGCGGTCTGCGCTACGAAGCGTAGGGGCGAGCCTAGGTCCGAGAGATCCAGCCAGATCGCCTTCAAGGGAATTGCGAGAAGACATCAAATGATTGTTGTGCATCCGAGAGAGGTGGAGGGCGCGGGTGGGAGAGAGAGCGGCTGGCTTACATGCAGGGCGCGTCGTGGGCGTGGTGTGTTCGGAGGAGGCGGTCCGGAGGAGAAAGGGGTTGAAGCCAACGAGAGCAGCACACATCCTGTGGCTGTGCAATCTCGAGTGTGCAATTGTTATTCATCCATTATCTACATGGGTCAGGTCATAGTGACGCGCTCGATGGGATGCTGCATTGACGCAGACAGCAAAAGCATTGCAGCGGAGACCTTCTTATGAGTGGCGGCTCGCACCATGCGACAGTGCGGACACCAGGTGCGCGAATTTAAGAGCCATTTTCGATTCCGTGGTTTAGGCACTGTCTACCAACTTTGGTACAAATCGACTTGGTCTGGGCACAGCTGAGCCCGCGCTGCCTCCATTCTGAAAGTGTAGGTAGAATGGAAGGCAGCATGTCAGGCTGCGAACTCTGCTGTGCGCCGAAAAGCGGTATGGCGCCGAGGAGGCCATTTTCCTATTAGAAAAGGCTGTCGACATCCAAAATTTTCCTCGCTGCGCGCCCAACCATGGTGGGCACGCTCGCAGCGCGGGGCGCGCCTGGCAGCGCCCATTTTTTGAAATGTCGGCCACTCACCTATGCCGCTATGCGGCTCTCAGAAACACTCGTGCGGCACATTTTATTTTCTTTGTCCTGCGCGCCCAACCCTTCTCGGCGAGTAAAAATCGCAGATTATGTTGTATCGAGATATCAACATCTCGAGATCACTCGAGAGATCACTCGGAGTCTCGAAACACTCGCCTCTCGCGCGAGATCCTAGAGGCGAGATTACGCACAGGTAAAATCACGGCTACTTCAGAGGTAGAGGTAAAGGGCCCACGGCTGCCCAGAGGTAAAGGTAAGAGGGCCGCAGGCCCTCAGAGGTAGAGGTAACCTAGACCCCTCCTACCCGGCCCTCCGGGCCGATGGGTTGTGGGAGCAAAAACGTGGGGAAATTTAACCGATACATCGTCCTGACCTCGGCCTGTGTGGTCGAGCTGCTTGCTACTCGAGTATCGGGGCGCGGGAAGAGTCGCACGCACGCCCAAGTGTAAAGGGGGTGGATGAGGAAATTCCCTTTCCGCCACCCGCCCCGGCGTTGAATAGATTCTTGGGAATGGCGGCTTGCTGAGATGTGTGGTCTCCCGGCGGGCTTGTGCACCCGGGTGCAGCGAAATGATCACCTCCTGGGTCGTTCTGACCTCTGCCCAGCTGGGCAGCAAGTGGTTGGGTGCCCAAGCACCTCTCCCAGCGACGCTCCCACCAACCGGGACGTGCACGTTCAAAGCCGCAGCAACGTGCACGGCCAACGCTCAAGAGACGTGCTTCCGCGACGAAACGGTCCGAGCGCGCAGCCCCCGCTCACGCTCCCTCCCCGCCTCGTCGCGTCCCCCGCTGACGCGCCCCTCCCCGCCTCGCGACGCGCAGTGTGCAGAGGACCCGCCCCCGCCACGTCCGTGGACTCCCGACGGCTGCTCGGCCGGCGGCGTTTTGACGTGCCGCTTCTGCGGCTTCCTCCATTTCCCTGACTGCCCGCCCGCGCCGCCGCCCTCTCTGCCGTCGCCACCGTCGCCGCCAAAGTGCGATGGGTGCTCGTGGACCCTCGACTACGCGTGCCCCGGCGAGATGCCTGGTTATGCCGTGCCCGGCAGGAAAGGGATTGCAAAAGCGGACGGCTCCGAGTGCTTCAACTTCTGCTGCGTCTCGCCGCCGCCCTCGCTGCCCTCGCCGCCGCGGCCGCCTCCTGTGCCTCCGCAACGGCCGCCGCAGCCTCCTCCGCAGCCCCCTCCGTTCGAGCCGCCGCCCCCCTCTCTGCCACCTCGGCCGCCCGCCGCACCCTCTCCGCCGTCGCCACCTCTGCCGCCGCGCCCGCCGCCGTCTCCCGACCCACCGTCGCCACCGCCGCCGCCCGTCCCGCCCCCCGCTCCCCTGGAGCCGCCGCTGCCCCCCCCCTCGAGCCCGCCCTGGCTGGGGTGGGCCATACCGCCGCCCAATCCGCCGCCAGAGAGGGCGGAGGCGGGCGCGGCGGCGGGCGTCGGAGTGCTCGTCGGAGGGGTGTTGCTCGCCGGGCTCGCCGCCGTCTGCCACCTCCGCACCGACGCGGGCGAGGACACCGAGTCGATCCTCCGCTCGGGCACGGAGCTCATCGGCGCCCCGAAGCGCGCCCTCGGCTGGAAGCCGCAGTCCGCCTTCTCGGAGCTGATTGCCAAGCGGAGCGGCGGGCTCTTCTCAAAGACAGAGGCGCGCCGG